AGACAAACGGCGGCAAGTCACCCAAATTCGTTTCCTCTCCTACTTTCACATTTTGTAGCCCAATATGTCCTGATAATTGTGGTGTAGTATTTTTATGAAAATACATTTTAGTTTTTGAGAAATGATGTTTTTCGTTGGACCGCTCAAATATGCAAATTTTCACTCTGAATATTACCCGAGTTGTGTGACCTCATGTAACGAATTTACTCGACCTCCGGTATTTCTGTCGGCATAATCCTTTGTTTTATCAACTAAACTTAATCCCCTGACATTATTGAGGATGGCAAAGAAATATTTATTTTTTGGTAATTATTTTTGTCCGACATACTTTTTCTATGTCGAAAAGTAGCATCAAAACAAAGACAGTTTTAACAATGACCGATATGACAAAATCTACTGAGCTTCTAGCTTTTAAAAGACAAAAGGATGGTTATAAAGTCATTGTAAAAATGTTCTTGTGCAATTGTGTTGTTCTATTTTGAGACGAACTCAAAGTCCGGCAAAATTTACTTGCTAGCGACTATGAAATATACATGGTGCGCCTACTTGTCGCCACCTTTTATTGGCATATCGAGGCATAAATCACTACAATTTGTCAACAAATCTAACACAACACTCTTATCTAAATCAACTGGACACTTATGACAGGAAAAACAATGAAATGTATACACTAATGCATGCTGATGTATGTTGATATGGATTTCAATTTGGTACAGGTGCTGATGTTTGTGGTTTACCAGTATATGTATATTAAACTAATTGTTTTTGCAATCATTTCATGTTTACTCTGTTTTGTGCTCAGAATTGATTTGTCTTTGATGCTAACTTTAATTATCCTGATAATCCAGACTAGTTGTTTTTCAAATATCATAAAATCCTTGCTGGCTGTCTTCACGTACAAAAAAATTCCAAGAAATGTAGAGGTACAAGGAAATCAATTGTTCTGGAATTCAAAATAGCCTTAGATACATGTACAGTGTAGATCACATTTTCGAAAACCAGTACTAACTTCTTACTAACCATTCGAGCACGAGTCTTTACTAGGGAATATTGGCCCAAGGTTACGGCAGTAAAGAAATGTCATAGTGCCAATATTTCTCAGTACAGCTCACGAAAGCAAGGTGATACTCATGCATTAATGTCACTTGCACTAAACTAGTTTATTGGGAATTTTCTGGCTTCCAAGTAAAAACATAGGCATGCGTAGCATGCAAGATTTATTTTTTTTGACCGGGTGGGATGAGATGGGACACTTTGTGTACCTAATGTTTTTATTTTTGTAACAGAAAAAAAGAGCATAATTTTATAAAAGATCGAAAATATTGCATTACTTCGCCTTAAGAGAAAGAGAGAAAAAAGGTAATTTAGCTTAACTCACACAGGTATCTTGTGGTCTATTTTCTCTATTGTCTAAATACTTCTAAGCAAAAATGAAATGGATCGGTGCCACGCTTACTGTTTTCTTCTTTGCAGCAGTTGTTTGGTCTCGTCACACAACGCCATCTATTCCCCGACGGAAAGAGAGCGCGTAGCGTGATGAGACCAAATAATAGTTGCGAAAGAGACCACGCTTACTGCCGTTCCTCTACCAGAGAGAGAATCACAATTATTCGTCTACAGTTAGATGCCTGAAAAATATAATTCCATGTAATTCTACTACGAAAATCAAACTGAAACTCTGTTGTATCTCCAATAGACTCTAACCAAAGATATATTGCGATCTCGACCAATGAAGATACATTTCACAAGAGAAAAGGATAATATTTGAGAGAGTGCTCCTTGATTGGTTGTTGCCTATCTGGCCTTTGCCCTCTGTGTGTGAAATACTTTATAAAATGCTGGTTGTTTACAAGGAATAAACACGCGATTGGATTAAGTTCAAGGTAGTTAAAAGCCGAGTTTATTCGTAGAAAAAATCAAAACGCGGGAGAATTGCGTTAAAAGTTTACTATTGGTAGCACTACTTAGTGTGAATTTTTTCCAGTGGGGTTGGACATTGCGATTAGAATACGTGATTAAATGCAGATTGTTTACAAGGAAATGACACGTGATGGAGCGAAGTTTAATTTGGCAAAATGGAATTTACTTGGCGAAATAAAATTTGTAATCAGTAGACTAGGTCAGGGAAGCAAAATAAAAAGAAATATTCATATCCTAAAAATCTGCACACCCCCTCCCCTACTGCCTCCTTCTACTTGCTTTTCTGATGGTAATTTCGTTTCTAAGTATTAATTCACTCTATTTGAGACAACAAGGTAGTTTTCCATTACCAGAAATCCGAGATATCGATCATACTTAACCTCTCCAGGCCTTGGCCAAGAAACAATTATAAAGAAATGTGTGGGATAAAAAAAAATGTTCAAAATCTCCAAGGATCTTTCATTTTCTTGTCAAGATCTCCAGGGGTCTTTTATTTTCTTTCCAAGATCTTTAATTTTCTTGCCAAGATCTTTACGGATCTTCGAAATTTTCCTGCCAAGATCGTTCAGGATCTATTTCTTTCTGTCATTTCACACTAAACTAATAGATAAATATTCGCCACCCAGAATGCCTTCAATGAAAATCACCAACGGGTAGCACTCATGATTTTATGTGGAACGAGCAAATGCAATTAGGCAATCTCATTTCAAATTTTCGTTCAATTTTACTCGAGTTATGACGAACAAGAACGAGGAGCATGTGGTTCACTCATTAATTTATGCAGGACAAAAAAAAAGAGCAAAGAAGACGATCATTTATTCCAAAATCTATGTGTGAGCTGGATTTCAGCTTATTTTCATTTTCTACAGGTGTGCTGATAAATATTCAGTTACGCTGTGTTCTTAATATAACCTACATTTTTTCAAAAGAAGTCAAATGATGTGTTAAAGAATTCGTATTTTGATTTGTCGCCTTAAAATTTTCTCTGACTTAAAATACCTGCCAAGTTTTGTATCATTTAATAAGCAAGGAGCGTTTTACATCTTACCCTCGAAACGTGTGTTTGTGACAACTGCTTCCTCTTTCAATTTCTCTAATGCGAACAGGATGTAACACGTAGACGGTAGTTTATAATCAAAATAAAAAGGAAAAAGGCTTCAGATTATCTCGTAACACTCAGTTTTCTCGGTTCTCACTAAATATTCTTCTTAAAAAAATAGTAAGCAGGGACACAGCACTTTAGATCGATAACATTTTCATAACTTGCTCTTGTCTGCGATCATATGGTCTAGTGTGTTGTTGCCGGCTCACTTTGCTGAAAGACCTATATGAAACCAAGACCCCACGCCTCATACCGGATTGCCTATATTTTTCATGTAATAAGTTTTTCTTTGTTAATACAAACTGGCAATGTTATTGATGGAACACTGCGAGTGGGTGAGACAAAAATCCACTTGGTCTAATTAATTATTTCAGAGCTTACCTTAAAACGACGTTTCGTCAGCGATGGAGCGTTGAATTCGTCCTTAAGAACCTGTTAAATTTGTAAAATTTTGCAAGACCGAAGTTATTTGGATGAGTTCGTCAGTAGGTGACTTATAACACGAACGGTGTCGAGAGGGTACTCTTTTCCTAGTGGTCTCACGACGTAGGAATATTTGATTTTTTCCTCTGAAATTTAGCTCAGGATAACCTAGAAGCAATGCTTCGAGCTGGGAATGGCGAGCGTTAGAAATTTCTCGCTGCCACCGAAATGATGCAAATGACTCACTTTTTTTTCACGACCATAATGATGTTTTTACCATTGCGTGACATTCTCAGGAAAACCAAAAGTTGATGACGCATTGTGAACGTTCCCCAAGGAAATGAGTCATAAATAGTGAATAATACACGGGCGCGCGTAGATGCGAATTTGGTTGATGGAATACAATTCAAGCGCGTGAAAAATTGCCTAATGTTCACGTAGTGCAATGATTGGGTATATCCTAATGGACTTTGGACGTTGTTTTTATGGTACGTGATGGAACGTGAGTTGTTAGGCGTGTTCGTTGCGCGTAAAGGAGCCGTAAAAACACGTTTGACTTAAAAAATAATACAAAAATTGAAATGCGAAACTTTCATGTCCCGATAAATCTCGACCTTAATCAACGAGGCTCTTGCGAAGACCACAAACCACCACGCTTATCAAATGAGCCCAAGATTTCTGGTTAATGTTATTTTTTGTGCACAGCCCCCTGATCCATGACATCATCTATAAGAACATAGGTATACGTAGCATGGGTGGGTTGAGATGGGACACTTTGTGTACCTAATGTTTTCATTTTTGTAACAGAAAAAGAGCATGACCTTCAAACGGAGGAAAATATCGCGTTACTTCACTTTGTCTGAACTCACACCACAGGCAGCCCAAACTCCAGCTGCGAGATGATCATCTTGCGAAATAAGATTCATGGTGATTTTTGCGGATTTTTTCGGATTTTCTTTATCTGGCGGTGGCATACCTGAATATTTTTATGAGTTGTGCCGTATTTTGACTTTACCCACAGGCTCGTCAAATTCAAACAAGGAGTGAAAGTACTAGGCAATACTACAAACCAATGAATAGTCTAGTAGGTTATTTATGATCCAACTGCTTTTTATTCGCCATGTCTTTCTGCTCATTTCTCATAAGGCGAGAAAAGCAAAGTGGATAGAGAAGCGCAGCGTGCGTAGCCGACCGGTTAAACAGGTTTTTTTACAGTATAAAATAACCAACTGTATACATGTGGTATATACATACATTCGCATTATTTGAACTCTACCTTGTGCAGTTGGATTTAAAAAACCAAATTATCTCGTTGTACCCCTCATCGACGCGGCACCACAATTTCCTTAGAAACTAAACCCAGTTATTCATACGTTGTTGATTACAATGCCTGCAGCTGGTGCGAGGCCAAAGGCAACCAAAATATACTTAATCTCCCAAAAACTCAGCATACCCTAATATTACTAAAATACTTCTCGAGCGCTTCACATGACTCTCACTTCCATACGATCTGATTAGTTATACTTTATTTTTATTATTTTTACATTATTATTTATTATTTTACCGTTGTCTGGCAACAAGTGATCTGTTAGTTGGTCTTGTAAGCCAGCCTCTCACTGCTACTCTTTGGATGTCGGTTGTTTTCGAAGAGTGGAGACTTTGTCGATTCGCATGGGTAGCAGCCTCCATTTCAGGGTATGGATTATCTCTTATGTCTTTCTTGACAATGGCAGCCATGAGCGTGGACAGACTTCTCGCCCTGTTGTTGGGGCTGAGATACAAACAAATTGTAACTTTGAAGCGCACATATATCATTGTCGTTACTCTTTGGATTGTAACCTTTGTCGCTACTCTATGCAACGTGTTAGATTCTCGTATAGCGCCTTGGTTTGGTCGAATTGTCATCTCATGTTGCCTATTAATCTCGATTGCTTCATATGCTAAGATTTTCTGTGCTCTTCGCCGTCATCACACTCAGATACAAAGTCATGTTCAACAACAGCCGAGCCAACCAAATGCATTGAACATGGCGCGATACAGAAAGGCAGTGTACAGTGCACTGTGGGTGCAGTTAGTGTTACTTGCTTGTTATGTGCCAGTGATTTTAGTGGGAATTGTGATGGCTCATATAAAAGGAAATTCATCACATTTAGTCGTCGCTCTTGGAATAGCGAGTACCCTGGTTTATTTTAACTCGACTTTGAATCCGTTTCTTTACTGCTGGAAGATTAGTGAAGTAAGAAGAGCAGTTAAGAAGACAATCAGACAAACGCTTTGCTGTCCACGAGGTTAGATCTTCAATTATACTCTTTTTTAGTTGTTTCAAGCGAGTAAGTAACGTGACGATGCTATTAGATAACGCCACCTGCCAGATATATCATTGAATAGGAAGAAGTAAGAAGCTTAATGAAGTCGCTGTACAAAGCTTTTAGATATTCTCACCATACATCAACATGGCTCATTTTGCGCATGATAAAGCAAAATCATGGAATCTACACGTTAACGATATCGTACGAATTGGAGAATGGTATTCATCTTAATTGAGGGAGGCGTTTGACTACAGTCGGCTTGATACGAAAAAAAATTCCTTATCTTATTAACAACCAATGATTTCAATCGCGGCTTCTGTGGATAAACTTTATTTCCAAGTGTACGCACAGCTAAAGGACAGAGAGTCGTATCACTAACGGCAATACTTGGGACAAGTAAGTTTCATACGACGGTAGTTATTTTGAATACAACAACCTATGATTTGATCGACATAAAAAATGCCGTCCACGCAAAGTAGGGCAAAAAGCGGGACGCTAGTTTGATTTTACTTACTCGTTTTACTATCTTAGTGATAAGAAAGTACATGTATAGGATAAAATTGATTCCGAAAGGGTAGTGAAGGAGTGACTTTTAAGTTCTTCTCTTACGGGTGGTGAAATAATTTCAAATTTTTAACCTCACTGCATGAAATAAAGTGCATGACTTTGACACGATATTGCCGTACGAACCGTTCAAAGTAAGTCTTGTTAAAGACAAGAAATCGTAATTTTTAGCGAAAAAGTCCAAAATAAATGGTATGTTTCATCAAAAATTTAAGGCCGGTTATTTACACAAGGTCTAACCCAAACCTTGGTTTTACGCGAGCAGTGAAAAGCAGGTGTTCTTTATAAGAGGGTAGATTAATCATAATAAATGTCCTTCCTTTATTAGATCTCGACCTTCTAGATACTATTCACAAAAATATATACCAAGATGAAAGGTTCAGCTAAATTGAAGATGGCTTAGAACGCAGTTTTGTCAAACAACGACTGAACTTTGTTTAAAGATTAACTTTCGAGATTCTTTGGTCTCTTGTAGTCTTTCCTGAAGCTAGTAAAAATTTCCATTTTTCTGTTTGATGGCAAAATATTTCGTAGAAGTGGAGAAGACTTATATTTATAGCATTTATTGGTAGATATAGTCGAAATGGTGCCGATGGACTCACTAACTTCTAAGAAGCTCATCGATAACATTGTTTGAACAATGAAAACCCGGAAAGGATTAAAGGCTAAGCTTTTTTGTGCAAATAAAGAGATCATCTAGATGACAGGCGATGAGAAAGGATTGTTATTATTTTGAAGGTGTTTATCATTACCCAACACCAGATTATCATAACCATTTCACAAAGAAAGCTGCAGAAACAGCAAAGGAGAACTATACAGGCATCTCCTGATGGCGATCGAACTGAGAAACATCTCACCAAGGTAGAACTAAATATTGACTCGAGATTTCGTTTTTATCAAAAATCCTGACGTGAGAAATATGAATCAAGGATTTCTAACCAAATAACAATTTGCGGTGCATGGCATTGTTTAAGACGTTTTATTTTACTAAAAAACCAAACCTGATTATCGCTGTTTCTCGTAAAGTTCTCTTTTAAGGATCAATCGTTTGTGAAAGACAAAATTTGCAAAATGATCAGAAGATCCATGTAAATCACGTAAATGGTTCACCATTTTTTTGGACACAATTGGCAATATTCCCGCGCGTTTCAAACGTGTAAACGCGATTGAAAAAGTTTTGATACGATGATTCATATGATGATTCATATAATTATTCATATGATTATTCAGTTTCAGTGATCAACGCAGTTTAAGTGATTTCTAGGCTGGGCAGGTGCTCTCAAGACGGAACATTTCATGTTGCAATCACACGTAACCTGAAGGAAAGACCAAAACGACTACAGAATGATGGCGGAAACAAATCTAGCCAAAGATGAAGCACAGCCAAACGCGTTTAAGATCTTCGGTGCTCCCCTTCTTTGGCAGGTGGATTACAACCACAGTCAATCTATTTCTCAGCTGCAGTTTGCATTCTCCTCTCCATCACAACATTTCTCTTATCCTTGTTGCCCTTCAAAAGAAATCTTCCCTTCACCCGCCGTCCAAACCCTTGTGTCGTTACCTGGCAACAACTGACCTATTGGTTGGTATTTTTAGCCAGTCTATGATGGCTACTTATTTTATGTCCTTGGCTAACGATAACTGGAGTCTTTGTTGATACGCAAGCGACGCCACCTTCCCAACAAGCTATACATTTTGCGGAGTTTCTTTATTGACGATGACGACCATAAGCGTGGACAGGCTTGTAGCCCTATTGTTGGGACTGAGATACAGACAAACTGTAACTTTGGAACGCATATATATCATGCTAGCTGCCTTTTGGGTTTTATCAAGTTTAACTGGTTTGTGCTGTATTTTAAATTATCTTATAGCCCTATGGCTTGGCCGTATAAGCATATCACTATTTCTGCTAATCTCAATCATCTCGTACACAAAGATTGTTCTTACTCTCAGTCATTATCAGGCTGAAGTACAACATCATGTCCAACAACAGCCGAGCCAACCAAATGCATTAAATATGGTGAAATACAGAAAAGCGGTGTACAGTGCACTGTGGGTGCAGTTTGCATTAGTTGTTTGTTATTTAACATATTTTATAATAGAAACTTTGATCAGTCAAAGTAACACATATTCATTGCACTTATTCGTCTTCTGGCGGTTAACGATAGGCTTAGTTTAAGTTAACTCTACATTAAATCCGTTACTTTACTGCTGGAAGATTAGAGAAGTGAGACAAGCAGTGAAGCAGACAATAAGACAAACTCTTTGCTGTCCGTGGAGCTAGATCCTTCTCGGGTTTCACTCCTATCTATACTTAATTGCTTCATGATGCTTCTGGATACTGAATGTTTGTCGGATCTTAAATGCAAAGGAATATATGAAAAACTGGAAAAACATCCTGCCTCACTTATTATGGAAGATAATTTGCAGGAAAATTTTCCCGCGAGAGGCAATGTTTCTATCCTTCATGGTCCAGTAACATAAAACTTTTGTATCTATAAAAGGAACTTTTAGAGTTTATCGACGGAATAACATATCAGTGAGAGAATTACTCGTTACAAAGAAAATGACAAAGAGTTATATTTAATGCAACTGTGGGAGGAAATTGGCTTCTCTTGTGACATAATTGAGTATTGGAATTGTAAATGATTTAATTTTGGAGGAATGTGGGCTTCAATCTTGAAGCGAAATGTTTCCTATATCATAAATCATTTCTTGAACAAGCTTGTTCGGTCAAGATGTCTGGTTAATAATAATAATGTTGCAAGATGCTGCGTTGAAATGTTGCGTGCGTGTGGCCGGGCCTTGAGAAAAAAGGGTTTGAGTGATCGTGACCAGCCAGGTGCTTTTGATAGGAAACATCTGTCGTTGCAAATACAGGTAACTAGCGGGTAAAAGGAAACGACCGTATATTGAACTGCATGGCGACAACTAATTTTATAGGAGGCTAGGTGTAACACAAAGGAACACCAGGTTTGGAAAGTGGCTTTTCAACCTTTCTGGCTGATGAGTTGCCGGCATCAATCAGCCATTTCCTTCTCTGCGGTGTACTTTCTCCTCCCATCACAGCATCTCCTAGCAATTCTCATGTCCTTGTTATAAACAGTTTTCAACTTGAATTTGTTTTGTCATTAGAAAAATATTCACATTGCTTATGAATGTTTGAAAATGTCATTGATAATAACAAACATTGTGTAAGGGGGTGTATGGATTTAAATAAACACTTTCCTTTTCTTAATTAATTCTTTCCAAAACTTCCAATTTTCAGAGATTAAACGTAAGACTCCATCTTCTCCACTCAGCTAAAGGTGAATTTCTACCCGAGAAGACGACGTTTAAAATAATTGTGAAATACTGATAGTATCAAAGATGTCTGTCTGTACGTTTGACTCTTAAAGCTCATTTGTTCCTATTTTTGTCACGTTTCCTAATGATCTTTCATCGATAGGGAGCTAGTCAAGTGTCCATATCATCTGTATAAAATTTTGCATCAAACCATTAAAATGTTAATGAATTCTAATATTAAAAAGAAGCTTAAATCTGAGGGGTTCCGGAAAAAAGCAATCAACTCTTTGGCACAACAGACAATTTGTTTACGCACTTTGAACAAGCAAACGCTGATGAGGAAGTCTCTATGTGTTTATTGAAGGAAGGTTCAGTCATCGTTGCACAGCTTGGGCTGTTTAAGCGAAATATTTCTCGTTGCCAGTTGCCTCAGTACAAGAAAAAGGAAACGATTACAGAACAATGTCGACAACAAAGTTCACTAGGAGTGGAACACAGACGAAAACATTTGTAGAACTGTTATGCACCCCATCTTTTGGAGGTGGATTACATGAAATATTTACTTTTTTCTCAGCAGTGCACATTCTCCTCTCCATCACAGCATTCGTTACGAATTCTTTCATCGCTGTTGCCCTTCACAAGGAATCTTCCCTCCATCGACCGTCCAAACTCTTGTATTGTTCTCTGGCAACAACTGACCTGTTGGTTGGTCTTGTTGCCCAGCCTCTCTATGCTACTTATTGGGTGTCCTTAGTTCAGGAACACTGGAGCCTTTGTCGATACGCATTTGACGCACTCTACATCATGGGGTCTGCATTGTTTTTAGTGTCTTTGATGACGATGACGGCTATAAGCGTGGACAGACTTCTCGCCCTATTGTTGGGGCTGAGGTACAAACAAATTGTAACTTTGAAGCGCACATATATCATTGTAGCTACCATCTGGATTTTGGCTATTGTCTCTTCTTTATGGGCTTTACTTGATGACCGTATAATTCTTTTGCACCGTCTCATAACTACACCACTTTGCCTGCTTATTTCACTTGCATCATACACAAAGATTTTTCGCACTCTCAGATATCATCAGGTTCAGGCAGAAGATCCCGTTCAACAACAGCCGAGCCAACTAAATGTACTGAACATAGCTCAATACAGAAAAGCAGTGTATAGTGCACTGTGGGTGCAGTTAGCATTAGTTGTTTGTTTTGCACCATTCTTTATCGTGGTAACCGTGATTGCACACAGTAAAACACATTCATCGCACTTGGTCATCCTATGGGGAATAGCCGATGTCTTGGTTTACTTTAACTCGACGTTAAACCCGTTTCTTTACTGCTGGAGGATAAGTGAAGTAAGACAAGCAGTAAAGCAGACAATCAGACAAGCACTTTGCTGTCCATGGAGTTAGACCATCTTGAGTTTTACCCGATCGTACTGGTACTTTCAGTTCAAAACTGACTGATAGGGAACGCTCGTCAATCAGCTACACCATGATATATATCTTTGCTCGAGATCTCTCGATTGTATTTTTCGCACCTTAACAACTAAAGGGAAGGCAACCGAAAAACTAACCATAAATTTTTAAAAATAGATTTAGTGCTACCTCACATTATCATGATTAGATCAATTCATAATCTAAGAAAAGATATGCGCGCGCAGGATCATACTCACGGTTGTTATTATAAGAAAGTGTAAGGAACAAAATTGAAGCAAGAACGGTTAGTACAAAGTTCTCTTTCAGGTTCACCGTTTTGCTGAAATTATATGCTAAAGGGAAAAAGGAATATTGAATGAAAAAAAAAAGAAAACATAGACTTTTAAAATATCAGATAGAAAGGGTCGCTTTATTTCCAGTTTGAACAGCGAGAATATTTCCAATTTATTATCGGGCCTAGAAATAGCAGTATATCTAAATATACTGCTTATTACTTAACTTAAAAAAAAAGTCGCAGTCGAGTTCCTTTATTGTTTTGAAAACAGTAATACAGCTGATGTCTTCATTTTTGCCAAGGGATATGACTTTAGTTTTAATTTGTACTTGAAGTAAATTTTACTGATTGAAGTAAACAGCTAATAGCGGCCAATTTAAACACAGCGGTCAAACACTGCGCATGCACGTGTTTTGAAACGCATGTATTATGTGAAGTGAAGAAAGAAAGGTTAAATTCTTAACTATTCCAAATTGAATGCGTGACACAGTTGAATGAGGGATTTCGGAGAAAGCTTAAATCTTGGTCTTATTTTATAGTGAGATATCTCAACTTAATTTTAACGCAGACACCTTGTTCCGGCGATGAAGGCAAATTACAGAACCTTTCTTCTACCTTTGTCGGCACGGCCAAGCTTACGACTTCATCACGCCGCCAAGCAAAGTGTAAAAAAAATTACGAGAGTGCAAATTAGATCAACAATGTGTATAATTCTAGGCCTTAGAAAATTTGAGCTTTCCTAAGACACAGCAAAAAACTACGCATTATTTAGATTCTCAATGTTGACCATAGCAAATTATCCATCCAGAAGCGCATGCGTAATCATTTGACCGCTGTGTTGCCCATCTACTACTGTTTAGTAGTCAAGTTGTAGTCGCTATTCGGAATAATTAAAGAAGAGAAAAGTGGGAAGGAGAAGTTCCAGGGAAAGAACTTTACACAAGAATCAAATAAGTTGTTGAATTTTTTTAACAATGAAGGCACTCGTGTGGTTTGCTTCTCAGCTATTTCCTCATCGGTGAATAAAATAGCGGATCAAAAGTTAAAATGAATAACGTAGAGTCGAAAGAAAAGTAAATATGTTACGAAATGAATAATCTAGTATTTTCATAACAGAGGCACCCAAAGGTTCTTGGGAAAATTGGTTTTTTTACCCAACAGAAATTTTTTTATGCGACTGTCAGCTAGGACGCAGGGGAAACGCCGAAGACAGAATTATGTCCCCAACAAATTTAAGTAGCGGTGGAAGTCACACGAAATCATTTCATGAACTGCTATGCTCTCCCTCTTTGGTAGGTGGGCTTCAACAACAACTACCAATTTGCTTCGTAGCGGTTGACATTCTCCTCTCCATTACAGCATTTTTTGGAAATTCTCTCATCCTTGTTTCCCTTTACAAAGAATCTTTCTTACATCCGCCGTCCAAACTCCTGTATCGTTGTCTGGCAACCACTGATCTGTTGGTTGGTCTTATTACCCAGCCTCACATGGCTCTACATTGGATGTCCGCGTCTCAAGAACACTGGAGCCTTTGTCGATACGCAAGGGACGCAGTCGACATCACAGGCTATGTATTTATTTTAGTGTCTTTGATGACGATGACAGCCATAAGCGTGGACAGACTTCTCGCCCTGTTGTTGGGACTGAGATACAAACAACTTGTAACTTTGAAGCGCATGTATATTATTGTAACTACCTTTTGGGTTTTTAACCTTGTGGCCTCTTTAAGTGGATTTTTCGATCACCGTGTAACCTATTTGTACAGCAGCCTAGTTATATCATTTTGCCTGGTAATATCACTCGCATCCTACACAAAGATTTTTTGCACTCTCAGATATCATCAAGCACAAGTGGGAGATCAACAACAGCCGAGCCAGACAAATGCACTGAACATGGCGCGATTTAGAAAGGCAGTATACAGTGCACTGTGGGTACAGTTAGCATTAGTAGTTTGTTATGCACCAATATGTACAGTGTCAATTGTGATCGCTTATACTAAAAAATATTCATTACTCTTAGTCGTCACACGGAAAGTAGCATTTATTTTACTTTTCTTTAACTCGACGTTAAACCCGTTTCTTTATTGCTGGAAGATAAGTGAAGTGAGACAAGCAGTGAAGCAGACAATTAAAGAAGCACTTTGCTGAGTTAGGTTTTCCTCGAGTTCTTCAGACTTTTAAAGCAGAATCCTTAAGTCACGATTATTATTTGAGAGAAGTCGTCAGATAAGTTATTGGATAAAAATAAATAAGTGGCTCAATAGAATAGTTGCGCAGGCTGTTATAAAAAGCTGCGAGGATCTTCTAATTTCATGTTGTCGATAGTCTCTATATCTCTGACAACAATCTAACTACAGATTAGGTAACCCTAACTTTGTGTTTTCAAAAATAAGGTTTCTTGCCGCTATGCTAAAATACAAGATGTCATAATCGAAGAAAATATATGCAAATATTTTACTTTCATGTTTTCTCCTCTTAGCAATATGAAGGCACCAGATAAAACTTCAAAGAGTAGTTTAAGAGATATATTTAAGGCCGATGTTGTGTGTTACGGATAAAACTATTTCAACTAGTTTTCCTATAATTAAAAGAAAGCGCCTGACGTTGATGTTGACGCCATATTGCCAAAAGAGGCGGTCCAGTTTTAGTCTTGAATTTGTTTTGTCATTAGAAAAATATCCGTAAAGCTTATGTGAAGAAGTTTCTGTTGCTTGTATATTTAACTGAAGGTTACAAAAGTATATGAAATAAAATTGACCATCTCTGTTTGTTACAGAATTTTTTTTACAGATCGATCGATGTTCTGAAATTATATTGCTATCTTGCTTTGCTTTTGTTTTGTTTCTAATTTTGTCGGAAACGTAACGGAGATAAAAGAACCACAAAATGTTACCAATCACACAGTTCAATTGATATATCTCAAAACAACTTTGCATCTGTGGCCTTACATCCTCAAACTTATTAATTCGCTTTGAAGCCATGATAATATTGAGTGCCTTCTCGCAAGCTAAATAAAGCGGGATTGTTTGTTGCAACAAGAAATAATGTTACTAATCACATAGTTAAGTTTAAATATCTTAAAATAAGTTTGCATCTGTGGCCTTACATTAATTTTTAATCGTTATATGCATACAAATTGCTGGACTGTTTGTCATGAATTTGACATCCTCAAATTTATTCAGCTCGCATTGAAGCCATAATATTGAGTGCCTTCTCGCAAGCTAAATAAAGCGGGATTGTTTTTTGCAACACGAAAAAAAACACGAAAATAATTTTAAAGAAGTCTTTGAATAGTTGCCTCTTATTACTATTTCATACGTGATGTACATGACAAGTTAAGCACAAAAAAAGGCTTTTTTGACACAGCAAACAATTTTCTGACTCATTTCAAACGTGTAAACAATAGTGAGTGGGTTTTTATTTGAGATGTTATCTGGGAAAAAGGGTTTCAGGGATCGTTCTTGTACAATTGGCGTTAACTAAAATGAAATATTTCTCTGGTTGCTATCACACCTTAACTCATGACAAGAATATTGTCAACCTTTGAAATATTTGATATATCCAGTTTAATGCTGGTCTGTGTTTTCTTCAAGTTTTATTGATCCTATGTCTACCAACCCGAGTGATTAACTGTTCCTAACTTTCGCTTCTTTTTCCTTGAACTCGTTCCATGACGCTTTTTAGGAATTCAGAATTCACCACAATACAGGGATAATCTTTGCACTTAATTACCGGCCCAAAAGAATGACAGTATATTTAAATATACCGCTTAAACAGCTTATGCTGTCATTCAAAAACTGAAAAGAGAGAGTTTCCTTATCATATCGTCAAACAGAAATATTACTGACCCATGTCTGAGTGCTTGCCAAAGGAATTAACTTTAAAAAGAAGAAAAATTGTAGATCAAAAATGACAAATGTAAAGTTGAATTAAAAATTGGCATCAAACGAAAAGAAATGATTATTTTGGTACCTGATGGAACCCTGGAATTAAAACGATACCGAGCGCGTGGTGCCATCATGGCTGGTGCAAAACAATGGTTTCTCCGCCTCCTTTATTTTCAGTTAACGCCTATTTTTCTTATCTTGTTGACCAAAGGGGTGAAGAAAGGAAATTACATCATAGGAAGAAATAGGCAAAATAAGCAAAAAAGTTTTTGTTAAAAAAAAATACCATTATAACTTTCCTGACGAAAGGAAAAAAGGCTGGTAGAGAACGAATTTAAAAAAATGGTTTGGCGCGCGGCATAACATCTTGTTACAGTTTTGTTTTTAATATAAGTCCGGAGACACAAAACAAAACGGAAAGAAAAAAGCACGTCTTTACAAATCGACTCAAGCATTTAAAAATACGTTTGCATCTGTGATCAAAATTTAAATTTGAATTGTTTGATGTATTCGCAGATTGTCTCCAATCCAACTTTTCTAAGATTAAGTAAAATCGCCAGCTTGAAATTTTCATTTCCAATTCTTCATGGCTACTAATGATACAAGTCTGAACTTCACACGAATGATTTGGACACCAGGTTAGCACTATATCAGTGAAAGTTGATCCAAGTAAAAGGAGATTGTTCGTCGTCCTTTTAAAAGAATAATACTACAGATGTCTCTCCATTGTCTACTGATTGCCATTTTATACCTGAGGTACTTCAAAGGTTCAATAATTGGACACAACAGACAATTTTCTGACGATTTTAAATGAGTTAACGCTGATGAGGAATTAGTCCATGTGTATGAATACTATTAACTGATGTATGAGGTGTCATTGATCGTGGCTGGTTGTGGGCTGTTTAGACGGCATATTACTCATTGCAATCTTAGATAGCCTACAACAAATTTCATAAGCATTGGAACACAGACGAAAACAATTGAAGAACTCCTATGCTCTCCCTCTTAAGCGGGGGGCATCAATCAGCATCAGTTTCATGCCTGAGGCATCCCACAGCTACAGAGTTCTGACGCATTTTAAATGATTGAAAGCTAGTGAGGAAGTCTTAATTATTTTTTAAAGGAAGGTTTCAGTTAGACGTAATATTCCTCGTTGCAAGAACAGAGGAAACGAATGCAGAATTATGTCGACAACAAATTTCACCAGAGGTGGAACACTGCCGAAAACATCTGAAGAACTGCTATGCTCCCCCTCTTTGGTGGGTGGGCTTCAACCAGCATCTTTCGCATCAGTCAACATTCTCCTCTCCATCACAACATTTCTTAGCAATTCTCTATCCTTGTTGCCCTTCACAAGGAATCTGCCCTCCATGCGCCGTCCAAACTCTTGTATCGTTGTCTGATCTTTTGGTTGGTCTTATTGCTCAGCCTCTCTATGTTACCTTTTGGATGTCCGTGGTTCACGAACACTGGACTCTTTGTTATTACGCAGAGACAGCAGCCTACATCATAGGCTCAGCATTATGTGGAGTTTCTTTGTTGACGATGGCGGCAATAAGCGTGGACAGACTTCTCCGCGCCCTGTTGGCAGGGCTGAGATACAAAGAGATTGTAACTTTGAATAGTGTTTGTATCATTATAGCTAACTTTTGGGTTTTATGTCTTGTCGCCTCTTTATGCGCCATTTTCGATCGGCGTATAATCACTTTGTGTGCCCAGATATTGATACCACTTTTTGCTGCTTATTTCACTCGCCTCGTACACAAAGATATTTCGCACTCTTAGAAATCATCAGGCACAAGAACAAGATCATGTTCAACAACAGCCGAACCATCCAAGTGCACTGAACATGGCGCGATACAGAAAAGCAGTGTACAGTGCTCTGTGGGTACAGTCAGTATTAGTTGTTTGTTACACACCATACCTTATTGTGAGAATTGTTCTCACTTATAGTACAACATACTCATCACAATTAGGCGTCGTATTGGCAATGGACGTCATATTAGTTTTCTTTAACTCGACGTAAAGAAAACGTAAAGACAAGCAATGAAGCAAACAATCAGACAAGCACTTTGCTGTCCATGGAGTTAGACCATCTTACTCACAGCAGTCAAACACTGTGCATGCACGTGTTTTGGAAAGAATAGGAGGGATTTGCAAACGCGTGTATTACGTGAAGTGAAGAAGGAAAGGTTAAATTCCTATCTTTTCCAAATTGAATGCGTAATACAGTTGAAAGAGGGTTTTCGGAGAAAGCTTAAATCTTGGTCTTATTTAATGTTGAGATATATCAACTTATTTTTAACGCAGATGCCTTGTTTCGACGATGAAGGCAAATTACAGAACCTTTCTTCTACCTTTGTCAGCACGGCCAAGCTTACGACTTCATCACGCCGCCAAGCAAAGTGTAAAAAAAAGTACGAGAGTGAAAACTAGATCAACAATGTGTATAATTCTAGGCCTTTGCTTCTCAGCTATTTCCCCATCGATGAATAAAATAATGGTTTAAGAGTTAAAATAAATAATGTAGAGTCGAAAGAAAAGTAAATATGTTACGAAACGAATAATTTAGTATTTGATGAAATTTCGTACTCAAAACGAGGCCGAGGTTGTCATGGCTGGATGATGTCTCCTCAGCTTCCTGCGTGCTTCATATCTTAATTAACCCTTTAAATCCCATGACTGACCAAGACAGAATTTCTCCTTACAATATTAATACAAAATCAACCAGATTAGTAGTGAAAATCAAGGAAAATGTTAATTTGGGGATAATTAGTTGATCCAATACTATATTCTCTGGACTAACATATGAGAATTGTATGACTGATGGTAAGGAGAAATACAAATTTGATCTGGGAGTTAAAGGGGTTAACACAAACTGTTTACTGGTTAAGATGCAGTCGCTGTTCGGTTGGCGCGACACAGAGAGGCTGTGTACCTCTGGGGGCGCAGTTAGCGTTAGTTGTTTGTTGCGGACCAATCTATAGTAAAACATACCCGTCACACCTAGTCGTTATATGGAGAGTATCAATTGCCTTACTTTTCTTTAACTTGAAGTTATATCCGTTCTTTACTGCTAGAAAATTAGTGAAGTAAAACAAGCAGTAAAACAGGCAATCAGAGAAGCACTTTGCTGTCCGTAGCGTTACCTCCTCCTCGGTTTGGTTTTGTAAGACTTTCATTAAGTCATGATTATTATTAGGGAGCGCTCTTCAAAATATTATTGATTAAGCGGAAGAAATAAGAAGTTCAGTAGAATCGTTGTACGTCGAGCTTTTGTCAATAGTCTTTTCAAAGAGTAAACGCTAGTGAGGGAAATCTGATGAAGGTAGAATTGAAGATCTGTGCGGCGAATTTTGATAATTCCTTAGCATACGTCCATTGATTTTGGACCACCACTTATAAATTATTTACTTCACTTCAGTATTACGATGTAACTGTTGCAATTAAAGTAGAATTTTGAAAATTGCCCCAGAGCATCACAAAATTACCTGCCGTTTACACGAGAGCTTTCTTTATACAAAAACACCTTTATTATCTGTTTATTTTATCATTTAAAAAAGGTATTATTAATCTATTTGTTTGTCAAAGAAATTAACTTTTAGTGCTAATTTGTACTTAAATTTAAATTCACTGATTCAGATTAGAAACTTGGCGCAGCACACCCAAACGCGCTAGTGGTTCGATCGGCTGCAGTCGCTATTCGGAGGAATCAAAATTTCCAGGATAAAACCCCTGCTCTGTATTAAAGAATTGAATGAGTTGTTGGTTTGTCTATCAGCAATTTTCCCGTCCGAAAATAAAACAATGGATCTAAAGTTAATATCTTAATATATATACATAAATCCATTTTCGAAAAGGTTGCTATTTGAAAAAATATATTAAATAGTCTGTGTATATATTTTCTTTTCTCATCACAAAGTGTCTCTTTTTGATGAGCAAAGAAAATATATATTTGTTTGATATATATTTTCAGATTTGAAAGGTTTTTCAAAACCAGGTATTTACATATATTTATAGAGCCGAAAGAAACGCAGTCATGTAAACGAGGCCTAAAACAAGTCCGAATCTGTCTTGACAAGCAGGTGTCTTCTTAACAACTTTTTCCTTCCTTATTGTGCGATAAAAAGCACGTGGCAGTTTTAGTGAGTTTGAAATATGGGTCAGGGTTGGTAAAGACGAAGCCTCTCCTAGAGCAATTGTAATTTTTTTATCGACTGCTGACAAGCCTTGAGCGCCCATCCCTTCATTTTCCATCTCGATTAATAAATTATCTTGTAACTAATTGTCATCACTAAAGGAGAGTCATCAACTGTTTAAGAGAATCGCTGGAACAAAAATTGAATAACTTTCCTTTTACAGTTGCAGAAAATGGTTTGCTGGTGTGACAACTTGATTTTGTTACTATTTTGTTTTTAGTTCTAGTAGGATACGAAACGGAGAGAAAAAAGGCTTCAAAGCGCAATTAGATACACAGTTAATTTCAAATATTTTGAAACAAGTTTGTATGTGTGACCGCATACATTAATTTTGAATAGTTGCGTAGTCTACGTAGTACATTCGGTTGTTGTCACGAATTAAATTTTTCTCTTACAACAATTGACATCGCCAGCTTGAGCTTTTGCATTTTTAGCTCTCCGTAGCTGATAATTCAAGTCTTAACTTCGCACGAAAGATATGGACCCTTAATTAGCATCCTATTATAATGGAATTTGATACTGATAAAGAGTGACTCTTTACCGAATTGTAAAAAACACTGAAATAACAGATGTTTCTATATTTGCCTTTAGTTGCTATTTCATAACTGAGGAACCCAAAGGTTCCCGAGGAAAAAAATATTTTTTTGACCCAATGGAGAATTTCCAGTTGCATTTTAAATGAGTAAGTCTTTATGCGACTGTTAGGCAGAAAGTTAGGCTTCAGTAGTCATTGCTGCCATTTTTCGTTGCAAGAACAGAGACCCACAAGAAAAGGGAAAAGCCGACGACAGAATTATGTTGATATCAAATTTCAGTAGCGGCAGAAGTCACACGAAATCGTATGAAGAACTGATATGCTCTCCCTCTTTGATGGGTGGGCATCAACAACTATCAATTTGTTTCTTGGCAGTTTACATTCTCCTCTCCATCACAGCATTTGCTGGGAATTCTCTCATCCTTGTTGCCCTTTATAAAGAATCTTCCCTACATCCGCCGTCCAAACTCCTGTATCGTTGTCTGGCGACCACTGATCTGTTAGTTGGTCTTGTTGCCCAGCCTCTCTATGCTACATATTGGATGTCCGTGTTTCAAGAACATTGGAGCCGTTGTCGATACGCCAGGGATGCAGGCTACGTCACAAGCTATGTATTGATTTTAGTGTCTTTGATGACGATGACGGCCATAAGCGTGGACAGACTTCTCGCCCTGTTGTTGGGGCTGAGATACAAACAAATTGTAACTTTGAAGCGCACGTATATCATTGTAACTACCTTTTGGGTTTTTAACATTGTCGCCTCTTTATGTGGAATTTTTTATCCTAGTATAATCTATTTGTACAGCTCCCTAGTTTCACCATTTTGCCTGGTAATATCCTTCGCATCGTACACAAAGATTTTTTGCACTCTCAGAAATCATCAAGCACAAGTACGAGATCAACAACAGTCGAGCCAAACAAATGCACTGAACATGGCACGATTCAGAAAGGCAGTGGACAGTGCACTGTGGGTGCAGTTAGCATTAGTTGTTTGTTATGCGCCAATGTATACAGTGGAAATTGTGGTCACTCGCACTAACAAATATTCATTACTCTTAGTCGTCTTACGGAAAGTAGCAATTATTTTACTTTACTTTAATTCGACTTTAAACCCGTTCCTATACTGCTGGAAGATTAGTGCAGTGAGACAAGCAGTGAAGCGGATAAAGTCACGATTATTATTAGAGAGCAGTCGTTAAATAAGTTATTGGATAAAAAACCAAATAAGTGGCTCAACGAAACAGTTGCGCAGGCTGTTATCGATAGTCTTTATATCTCCGTGAACAATTTAACGACGGACTAAGTAGCCCCAGCTATGTGTAAAATAAGGTTTCTTGTCGCTCTGCTAAAAGATAAGATGTCATAACGCAAGAAAATATAAGCAAACATTTTACTGTCGAGTTTTCTACTCTTAGAAATAAGAAAGCATCAGATAAAACTTCAAAGAGTAGTTTGAGAGATGTGTTTGAGGCCGGTGTTGTGTGTTACGATAAAACTATTTCAACTAGTATTCCTATAATTAAAAGAAAGCGCCTGACGTTGATGTTGACGCTAAGTTTCCATAAGAGACGGTCCAGCTTCAGTCTTGAATTTGCTTTGTTATCAGAAAAATATCCGTAAAGCTCATGAGAAGAAGTCTTTGTTACTTGTATATTTAACTGAAAGGTACGAAAGTAAACGGAATAAAATTGACCATCTCTGATTGTTACAGAACTTTTTTACAGATCTATTGATGTTCTGAAATTATATTGGCAACAGCGAAAAACAAGTTTCGCATCATTTGTATAGAGGTCACCATATGTCCAGTTTGTTGCTTATGTATCTTTAGGTTGTCTCTGAGTTTCACGGATTTTATTTCCTCCATTTCTAAGTGATTAACCGCTGTCCCTAAGTTCCACAATTTTTTTTTTTATTGAGTCGTTTTCAAGGCTTTGTATAAGCTCAGACTTTGCTTCAATATCATATCATCTAATTATCGCCCTAAAAACGACATGTTTATTTCACCCATTAAAGAAGTGACAAAATGGATCTTTTAAGACTTAGGAGGCCCATATCGTATTGTAAAACAAAAAATATAGCCCATGTCTTTGTGTTTGTCAAGGGAATTCTTTTTATTTCTACACAAGACATACATCAGTATAATACCAGATCAGCATCTTCTGGTAACTACTATATTAACTATTCTAGGCTTAATCATCATAAAAACTCTTTTTCTATCGTTGGGGCTAAAATTTGGAACATTATTCCCGAAAGCTATCGAAGTCTGCCGAAGCAAAAAAAATTCAAAATTCAAGCATTACTATTTGCAACTCTAGGAAGTCTGGATAGTTATGCTGACACTAGCACTCTTATTTCTGAAATAAAAAAGGCATCTTAATTATAATTCAAACATAATATATTAATTTACTTTTTATCACCTTTTCCCTCTTTTGTCAAATAATGTATGCAAAATCGAGTAATTCGCATAATTGGTGTTTTTGTAATTCGTGTTGTATGTCCTTAACACCGCCTGCCTAGATTAGCTCGCTATTTGCAGGAGGTGATTATTGTACAAAGATTTTCCTGCAAACTTAATAAACTTGAACTTGAACTTGAACTTGTACAAAAACACTTTTATTATCTCAATAACCAGACGTAGGAAGAAAGAAAATTAGATCAAAGGGTCACATAGGCTAACTTTTCCTCGTTATTGTTTAGTACTGTCTTCAATAAAGGAAGAATATTTCAATTGGGCACTCAGATGACATCTTATCTTGATGTACTGCTTATTTCATCATTTAAAAAGATGACAAAAAAAGTTGTCCTATCGTATTGTCAAACAGTAATACAACCGATGTCTATTTGTTTGTCAACGAAATTACCTTTTAGTGCTAATTTGTACTAAAACTGAAATTCTTTGAGATTAAAAACTTGTCGCAGCCCACACAAACGCCTTTAGTAGTTTGATCGGCTGCAGAAATTGAAAATTTTTGGATAAAACTCTTACTCTGTATTAAAGAATTGGATGAGTTGTTGGTTTGTCTATCAGCAGTCTCCTATTCCAAAATTAAAACAATGAATCTAAAGTTGATATATGAATATATATAAACCTATTTTCGAAAATGTTGCTATTTAAAAAAGACATTGTCAATAGTCTGTATAAATGTATATATTTTTTCTTTTCTCATTACAAAGTGTCTCTTTTTGAAGAGAAAAGAAAAGGCATAGTTATTTGATATAAATTTTCAAACAGGTATTTACATATATGTATAACGTCGAAAGAAACGTAGTCATGTAAACGAGACATAATACAAGTCCGAATCTGTCGTGGCAAGCAGGTGTCTTCTTAACAACATATTCGTTCCTCAGTGTGCGATAAAAAGCACGTGGCAGTTTTAGAGAGTTTGAAATATGTGTCAGGGTTGGTAAAGACGAAGCTTCTCCTGGAATTTTTTATCGACTGTTGATAAGGTTTGAGCGCCCATCCCTTCATTTTCCATTTCGATTAATAAATTATCTTGTAACTAATTGTCATCACTAAAGGAGAGTCATCAACTGTTTAAGAGAATCGCTGGAACAAAAATTGAATAACTTTCCTTTTACAGTTGCAGAAAATGGTTTGCTGGTGTGACAACTTGATTTTGTTACTATTTTGTTTTTAGTTCTAGTAGGATACGAAACGGAGAGAAAAAAGCTACAAAGCTCAATTAGATACACAGTTAATTTCAAATATTTTGAAACAAGTTTGTATGTGTGGCCGTACATTAATTTTGAATAGTTGTGTTGTCTACGTAGTACATTGGGTAATTGTCACGATTCAATTCAATTTTTCTCTTACACCAATTGACATCGCCAGCTTGAGCTTTTGCATTTTTAGCTTTCCGTAGCTGATAATTCAAGTCTTAACTTCACACGAAAGATATGGACCCTTGATTAGCATCCTATTATGATGGAATTTGATTCTGATAAAGAGCGACTGCTTGCCGCGTTGTAAAAACACTGAAATAACAGATGTTTCTATATTTGCCTTTAGTTGCTATTTCATAACTGAGGAACCCAAAGGTTCCCGAGGAAAAAAATATTTTTTTGACCCAACAGAAAATTTCCTGATGTATTTTAAATAAGTAAGTCTTTATGCGACTGTTAGGTAGAAAGTTAGGCTTAAGGAGTCATTGCTGTCATTTTTCGTTGCAAGAACAGAGACCCACAAGAAAAGGGAAAAGCCGACGACAGAATTATGTTGATATCAAATTTCAGTAGCGGAAGAAGTCACACGAAATCATATGAAGAACTGATATGCTCTCCCTCTTTGATGGGTGGGCATCAACAACTATCAATTTGTTTCTTGGCAGTTTACATTCTCCTCTCCATCACAGCATTTGCTGGGAATTCTCTCATCCTTGCCGCCCTTTATAAAGAATCTTCCCTACATCCGCCGTCCAAACTCCTGTATCGTTGTCTGGCAACCACTGATCTGTTGGTTGGTCTTATTGCCCAGCCTCTCTATGCTACATATTGGATGTCTGTGTTTCAAGAACATTGGAGCCGTTGTCGATACGCCAGGGATGCAGGCTACGTCACAAGCCATGTATTGATTTTAGTGTCTTTGATGACGATGACGGCCATAAGCGTGGACAGACTTCTCGCCCTGTTGTTGGGGCTGAGATACAAACAAATTGTAACTTTGAAGCGCACGTATATTATTGTAACTACCTTTTGGGTTTTTAACATTGTCGCCTCTTTATGTGGAATTTTTTATCCCAGTATAATCTATTTGTACAGCTACCTTGTTTCACCATTTTGCCTGGTAATATCCTTCGCATCGTACACAAAGATTTTTTGCACTCTCAGAAATCATCAAGCACAAGTAGGAGACCAACAACGGACGAGCCAAACAAATGCACTGAACATGGCACGATTCAGAAAGGCAGTAGACAGTGCACTGTGGGTGCAGTTAGCATTAGTTGTTTGTTACACGCCAATGTTTACAGTGGAAATTGTGGTCACTCGCACTAACAAATACTCATTACTCTTAGTCGTCGTACGGAAAGTAGCAATTATTTTACTTTACTTTAATTCGACTTTGAACCCGTTCCTATACTGCTGGAAGATTAGTGAAGTTAGAAAAGCAGTGAAGCGGACACTGAAAGAAGCTCTTTGCTAAAATAGGTCTTTCTTGAGTTGTTCATCAGACTTTCAAAGCAGGCTTATGAAGTCATGATTATTATTAGAGAGCAGTCGTTAAATAAGTTATTGGATAAAACCAAATAAGTGGCTCAATGAAATAGTTGCGCAGGCTGTTATCGATAGTCTTTATATCTCCGTGAACAATTTAACGACGGACTAAGTAACCCAGCTATGTGTTTTCAAAAATAAGGTTTCTTGTCGCTATGCTAAAAGACAAGATGTCATAACGCAAGAAAATATATGCAAACATTTTACTGTCGAGTTTTCTACTCTTAGCAATAAGAAGGCATCAGATAAAACTTCAAAGAGTAGTTTAAGAGATGTGTTTGAGGCCGATGTTGTGTGTTACGATAAAACTATTTTAACTAGTTTTCCTATAATTAAAAGAAAGCGCTTGACGTTGATGTTGACGCTATATTGCCAAAAGAGATGGTCCAGCTTCAGTCTTGAATTTGCTTTGTTATCAGAAAAATATCCGTAAAGCTCATGAGAAGAAGTTTTTGTTACTTGTATATTTAACTGAAAGTTACGAAAGTAAATGGAATAAAATTGACCATCTCTGTTTGTTACAGAACTTTTTTACAGATCGATTGATGTTCTGAAATTATATTGGCAACAGCGAAAAACAAGTTTCGCATCATTTGCATAGAGGTCACCATATGTCCAGTTTGTCGCTTATGTATCTTTAGGTTGTCTCTGAGTTTTACGGATTTTATTTCCTCCATTTCTGAGCGATTAGCTGCTGTCCCTAAGTTCCACAATTTTTTTTTTCATTGAGTCGTTTTCAAGGCTTTGTATAAGCTCAGACTTTGCTTCAATATCATATCATCTAATTATCGCCCAAAGAACGACATGTTTATTTCACCCATTAAAGAAGTGACAAAATGGATCTTTTAAGACTTAGGAGGCCTATATCGTATTGTAAAACGAAAAAACATAGCCCATGTCTTTGTGTTTGTCAAGGGAATTCACTTTCAGTGCTAATTTGAAATTAAACTTAAACTTTATTTACTGAAATCAACAGCTGGTTGCGACGAACATGTTCTTGTTTAATTATCAAGGTACCGAATTATCATACAGGATCAGAAAGAAAATTCCCTGAGAAAGAACTCTTGTTAAGGGAGGGATTGACGCATCTTCAGCGATTAAGTTTTCGTCTGATTTTTCTGTCAGCTAATCCTCCGTTGGTAAATGAAATGACTAATTTGAAGCCGGAATAAAATATTAAATCTATAGAGAGAAATCGTTTTGCAAAAACGAAAATTTTTCCAACTTAAAACGAGGCGGCGTGTTTGTGGTGGTTAACTAATTTTTCCTAAACTTTGACAGGGTATTTTTAACAGTTCTTTCGTGTGTCACTGTGCGGTCATTAAATATACGATAAACGCAGGAAGTTTGGAGAGCTTGAAAGATACGCGGGAGTTACTTAACACGCAACCAAGAGTGATCGTAGGTTCATAAATAATAAATGCTGTTTATGTAGGTTTAACAAGGTGTAGTTTTTAACTCGACATCATCGCGGGAATAATCAACAATATTATTATTCACTTCATCTTCGGCAAATAATTGTTGAATATTTTTATCGAGTGTTGATAGTTTTTAAGTATCCATTCCTTCATTTTCCTTCTCGGTCAATAGAATATCATGTCCAATTTAACACAGTCATATAACTTCGGTTATCGGAGGAGAATTTCCAATCGCTCAGGGGAATTACGACATGAAGAATTCAGTTACTGCTGTATACATGAAAGCGTTGGCAGAGAAAAATTGAGGCGAGCTTCGTCTTACAATTTTTCCAAGACAATCACTTTAAAACTTTTGGCGAAAGGAGGAGAACAAATAGAGAATGTAAAAGAAACAGCGAAAAATTGTTTAAAAAAGTAATTTTTTGCCTTTCTTCTGTTTTGTTTCTCGTTTTGTCGGAGAGGAAACGGAGGTAAAAGAGCCGCAAAATGTTACTAATTAAGTTTGCATCTGAGGCCATGGCTCAATCTTATTTACGCAAATGATATGGACATGTGATTGACACCCAATGTCGATGAAACTACGTTGTATAAACATCGGCCTTCAAATTCAGAATTTACCACAATACAGGGATAGTGTTTGCACTTAATTACCGGCCCAAAAGAATGAAAGTATATTTAGATATACCGCTTAAACCGCTTATGCTGTCATTCCAAGACTGAAAAAAGAGAGTTTCCTTATCATATCGTCAATCGAAAATTTTACCGATGTCTGTGCGCTTGCCAAAGAAATTAACTTTTAATGCTAATTTGAAGTTAAATTCAACTTAACCTACTGGAATATACAGCTGGTTGCGACAAATATATGCTTGTTTAGTTTTTAAGTTGTCGTCGCCACAATGAGTCATCAGACGAGAAGGAAGCTTCTAAGGAAAAAAGACACCTACAAAAGAAACTGATTCAGTATTCGCACTTTTCAGTGATTAACTCATTTTTTAAGAATGGTTAGTAACTATATCTGCACTTGTAAGAGAAATTGTAGATCGAAAATGAAAAATATCAAGTTTGAACATGAAAATTGGCATCAAACGAAAAAGAAATTAATATTTTGGTACCCGATGGATCTCTAGGATTAAAATGATACCGAGCGCTTTTGGCCATTATGGCTGGTGCAAAACAATGGTTTCTCCGCCTCCTCTACTTTCAGTTAGCACCCATTTTTCTTATCTCGTTGACCATTTGGAAGAAGAAAGGAAATTACATCATAGGGCGAAAAAGGCAAATAGGCAAAACAGTTTTTGTTAAAAAAATAATCATAACTTTCCTGACGAAAGTGAAAAAGCTGGTAGAGAACGAATTTGAAAAAATCGTTGGCGGGCGGCATAACATCTTGTTACGGTTTTGTTTTTAATATCAGTCCGCGGACGCAAAACGGAAAGAGAAAAACCTGTCATTACAATTGATTCAAACATTTAAAAATACGTTTGCATCTGTGACCAAAATTTAAATTTGAATTGTTTGATGTATTCGTAGATTTTCTCAAATCCGACTTTTCTAAGACAAAGTAAAATCGCCAGCTTGAAATTTTTATTTCCAATTTTTCATGGCTAATAATGATACAAGACTGAACTTCACACAAATGATATGGACACCAGGTTACCACTTTATCAGTGAAAGTTGATCCAGGTAAAAGAAGATCGTTCGTCGTTCTTTTAAAAGAATGATACTACAGATGTCTCTCCATTTTCTACTAATTGCCATTTCATACCTGAGGCACTTTAAAGGTTCAATTTTTGGACAAAACTGACAATTTTCTGACGTATTTTAAATGAGTTAAAGCTGATGAGGAATTCTCTACGTGTATAAATGTCATTAACTGAAGTATGAGGTGTAATTGATCGTGGCTAGATGTGGGCTGTTTAGACGACATATTACTCGTTGCAATCTTAGATAACCTACAACAAATTTCAAAAGAGTTGGAACACAGACGAAAACAATTGAAGAGCTGCTATGCTCTCCGTCTTTAGTGCGTGGGCATCAATCAGCATCAGTTTCAGACGTGAGGCATTCCACAGCTGCAAATTTCTGACGCACTTTAAATGATTGAAAGCTAATGAGGAAGTCTTAATGTGTTTATTAAAGGAAGGTTTCAGTTGGACGCAATATTTCTCGTAGCAAGAACAGAGGAAACGAATGCAGAATTATGACGACAACAAATTTCACCAGAGGTGGAACACAGACAAAAACATTTAAAGTACCGCAATACTCCCCCTCTTGGATGGGTGGGCTTCAATCAGCATCAGTTTCTTTCCCAGCAGTCAACATTCTCCTCTCCATCACGGCATTTCTGGGTAATTCTCTTACCCTTGTTGCCCTTCACAAAATATCTTCCCTCCACCCGCCGTCCAAACTCTTGTATCGTTGTCTGGCGACAACTGATCTGTTGGTTGGTCTTGTTGCTCAGCCTCTCTATGTTACTTATTTGATGTCCGTGGTTCACGAACACTGGAGCCTTTGTCATTACGCAATAGAAGCAGCTTACATCACAAGCGTAGCATTATGTGGAGTTTCTTTGTTGACGATGGCGGTAATAAGCGTGGACAGGCTTCTCGCCCTGTTATTGGGGCTGAGATATAGAGAGATTGTAAATTTGAAGGGCGTTTATATCACTATAGCTAGCTTCTGGGTTTTATGTCTTGTCGCCTCTTTACGCATCATTTTCGATCAGCGTAAAACCGCTTTGTATATCCGGATATTGATACCACTTTCGCTGCTTATTTCACTCGCCTCGTACACAAAGATTTTTCGCACTCTTAAACATCATCAGGCACAGTTTCAACAACAGCCAAGCCAACCAAATGCACTGAAAATGGCGCGATACAGAAAAGCAGTGCATAGTGCACTGTGGGTACAGTCAGCTTTAGTTGTTTGTTATACACCATTCCTCATTATGGGAATTGTAGTCACTCATAGTAAAACATATTCATCACACTTAGTCGTCACAAGTGAAATAGCAATTATCCTTGTTTACTTTAACTCGACGTTAAACCCGTTCCTATACTGCTGGAAGATTAGTGAGGTGAGACGAGCAATGAAGCAGACAATCAGACAAGCACTTTGCTGTCCATGGAGTTAGACCATCCTCGAGTTATATATGATCGTATAAGTACTTTCAGTGCAAAGCTGACCGATAGAGAACGCTTGTCGCTTAAATTTTTGCTCGAGGTCTGTCGATAGTATTTTTTGCTAGTCACGTAAAACAAAATAAAGAAAAGTTAATGGAAACACAAACCAAAACTTTTAAAAAATTTTTTTCATGCTACTAAACTTTTTTTTGAGCGCATAAATTATTAATCCAAGGAAAGATATACGTGCACAAGAGGATATATAATGTCTTATAATCTCTTGACTTAAATTATACTCTCACGAATGTTATTATAAGAAAGCGAAAGAAATAAAATTGACTATAACAGTTTTTATTAAAGACTACGCGGGATGCGGTTTCAGAGGGTTGCTGCTCCAGTGCCGATCGATCCTTCATTAAATTAAACATTTACACGGATTATTATGAATGTTTTGAATTAATTAACGATATATTCTACAAAGTACAAGTTAACGAGCTTTAAATAGCCTATACTGAGTTAATAATATTCTAAATTTGTTCAGTTTCTCGTGAAATAATGGCTCTACCTTCTCGAACGCACGTGTACGCTTGTTAAAATCCTACCTGACATAAAAAATTGAAACAGGGCTCTTGTTTCGCATTCTTGAAGTTCCGGTAATTCGAGTTTTTATTGAACGAATCGGTTGACAATGTTGCACATGTGATGAAAGTTTTTGAAGAACTCTGCCGCAAAATTTTCCACTGAACAGTTCAGTCGACCAAAACGACAAAGTGCAGAGGTAGGTAACGAATGATATTGTCTATTGAAGCTAAAGCTTGTTTTAAAGCTGCGAATTAAGAGACAGACCACGTGTTCGTCTGTAAAAATCGAGCAGAGGTGTTGAAAATAAAAAAAATTGAAATTTGTTCAAACTTTGCCAGAGCATAGCTATAAATGGCCTTAGTTATGGAAAAATATCAAAAATACCGAAAAAAAATTATGTTGGGAGAACGGTGACATTTTGTGTTTTGAGGGTTCATAACCGTGTTTTCCCGGTGAAATAGTGCACCTAAAGATAACGGTCGAAAACTTATTTTCGCCAGCAATTCGGAAACAACATAATAATTCTAAAACAAGAGATATTTTTCAATATAGGTATAGGTTCTGAAGTATTTTTTCCAAGATTCCTTAGAAAACGATTTTTTTTACGAATTTTCTAATTCAGGTGAAATTTCATCCATCAAAACATGGATCAACTTTGGCAACTAAAATCGGCCATTGTCGCATGGCTCCATAAACTGACCATGAGACAATAACCATTGTCAAGAAGAAGGCTTCTTCTTTTAGAAACTGCAATAAAATTTTTGGGCTACTTAAACCACTCATTTTTAGAGCGATTTATAGAAACTTATTTGAGCTCAAGAGGCGCGTTACGTGACCAACGTGACTTGCACGTCACATTAAGAAAAACATTACCAAAACACTCGAATTCCCTCTTATATCATATAAAAACTTCGAAACAGGTCTCCTTCATATTAAATATACATATAATTTTCTCCTGAAGCCAAAAAGTCATGGCAATCTGGGCAATCTTCTATAGTCTAGTATATGCAAATTGATGGTTTATGTTGTTACAACGGTCATATTCGCAACTAATCCGGCAACCCAACGATAACAAACACTTTTTTAACATCAGAAGGAATTGCCCAGGCTATAATTACACAAAATGTTACCTTCAGAAGTGGTTTCCATGCCAAGAGTATGCACTTTAACCCGCTTCACCGTTTTCAAAACTTATCCATGCTACCATTTCTCGCCACTGCAGTGCGATCGATGGTATGTGATTGCGTTACACACAGGAAGTCCATTAAGTGAGAATGATACAGAAGATGACCAACGTTTTTAACAGAACAAGGTTGGTCTTTATAAAATCTTTCGATCTAAAACATGTTTATGTAAACGTGAGGTTTTCACTGTCAATTTTTTTATAACAAAGCTACAAAGGGACAATGTCATATCGTAGCTGTGTATGACGCATATGCACCTATTGTACTTATTTCTCTCAAGGCAGTTGGAATAATGTTGGTGTCCCTCTAATCCAGGAGTTATTACTTTCTGAATACGAAGACTATGGTCACTTCCAGCTGGAAAGTTCCTATTTTTCTTTGCACGTACACGACTTTATCAATTCATTGATCAGACCAACGTATGGCGCTTTTCGTGTAGCAGGAAGGGAATCAATTTCCAATTGGAAATATGTGCATATATCTTGAAGGAAAGAAATAATGAAACGAGTAAGCTTGTTCGTGGCATACAATTGACAGAGGTTGTATGTGTCATACAAAATGGGATGACTAAGCTGGCACTCTTGAATTATCTTGTCATGAGCTGAGGAGTATGCCATTTCTTCATCAATGGCTGGTACATCGATCTCTGCTACCGATTCCGCCTGTTTGATCTTTGCTGCTGACCTTGAGAAGTACGGCTTTATCTGCTGTGGTGATAAAAACTCGCCAGCAGCAAATCGACGCTCTCCGTTTTCATTTTTAGCGCACATTGAGTATCTTTGCTTTTATCAATGAGGGTAGTTTTCTCTTCTACTATCCTGATGCTATCTCTTATCAAGGTGGCGGTCAGGATGGAATTCTGATGTATACTCACGTGACCCCCACCGGAACTGAAGTGTAGATGTTAAAGCATAAAGCTTTTGAGACTGTTGCAGAGTCATGCCTCGATCACCTTTCCGAGAAGACTTCCCATGTGGAGCCCAATCCGATGGATAGGAGCATTTTTTTTTTATTGCACAACCATCTAGTCCCGAAGTCGTCGCTATGTGTGGGACAAATTGAAAGTTCTTTATGGCTTTCCTCGACTTCAAATACACCCTATGCAGAACGAAAAGAGACTGGGAGCGATCAACTTGAAAACGAGGCTAGTTGGACCTGGTAAATAAAAATGGCCGCCTGATGTGAAGGGTGCCAGTTTTTGAAAATGCCGCAAAATTGTTGTGTTCTAAACTGTACCAAAAAGAATTACAGAACCGAAAACGGGGAGAAAATTTCTTACTTGAAGTTATCGTCAAAAAACGTTGGCTCCATGCCATTCGTCGAGACGAAGGAAAAGCGTTTGGAGTCAACCAAAACACGAAGATCTGTTCTCGTCATTTTAAGCCCGAGGACTTGGTTAAGGCTATTGGAGGTCAGCGTGTTTATGTAAAGGCAGGGGTAATTCCATGTCGATTTTCGTGGTCCAAAGGTTCTCCGAAAAAGCGAGCACCTCCTAAATGTCGCAATCTTTCGTCTACAACAGAGTGTTCAAACAAGGAGTTGCAATCATCTCAAAGTCAAACAACTGCAGATGCAGCTGAAGCAACTTCTGAAACCTGTACTTCATCAGCAGCTTTTAGTTATCATGATGTGGAAAACAGCTTAAGTTCGTGTGAGGATCAAACAGAAGAAGTTAAAAAACTTGAAGGAATTCGAGGTTTTGAACTTGAAAATGCGAAGTTAAAGGCTGAAATAGAGGTATTAAGTATACTAATAGGTTTAGGTATTTTTCAGATACGCAATGTTACTACCGACGAGGACATTGCCTTTTATACGGGATTTCCTAATTTAGCAACATTTAATGTTGTTTTTGAATTTTTAAATACTGGATCGAAAGGGGAAAACATTAGGTACTGTTCATCAAAAGAAAGAACTGTCCAAAAGGAGTTTTACGATAGTGGAAACGAGGAACCAGAGGGATGTACTAGCATAGGTAGACGAAGAAGCTTAGAACCCAGAGAGGAGTTCTTCCTTGCTCTTTGCAGACTGAGAAGGGGATTTGCAGAAAAACATCTAGCTCACTTGTTTGGTATTTCGCAGTCGACAGTAAGCAGAACATTCCTTTCTTGGATAAATTACATGTATTTAAAATTTGGTCAAGTATCTATATGGCCTAATAGGGAGGTTATAAGAGCTACAATGCCTGACAGCTTTAAAGAGAAATACTCTTGCACCCGTGTAATAATCAATTGTACAGAAATTAGATGCCAAATGCCTTCCAGCCTTCTGTTGAATTCCAAATTGTTCAGCTCCTATAAGAACCATGTAACTCTAAAAGGCTTAGTTGGAATTGCTCCCAGTGGAGCTATAACTTTTATCAGTTAGCTATATAGTGGAAGCATTTCCGATCGCGAAATTGTTGAACAAAGTGGTTTCCTGAAGTTAGAATTTGACAATGGTGACACTGTGATGGCTGATAAAGGTTTTACAATTGAAGACCTACTCCCACTAGGTGTAACCCTAAACATTCCCCCCTTTTTAGGGTCTAATAGCCAAATGACAGCAGAAGATGTTATCAAGACTCAAGAAATTGCTTCTATTAGAGTACATGTTGAACGGGCCATCAATAAAATCAAGAATTTTCACTTATGGGATAGTGTTGTACCCCTCAGTTTGTTTGGGGTAGTAAACCAAATGTGGAGTGTCTGTGCCTTTTTATGTAACATTCAGGACCCTCTTATTTCCACTTAACACTGAGTTAGGCAGAGCTCTGAGGCACACTACAGAATTTCAGTCAATTTAATAAATGTAAACCTGCTTATCCACCTCAGGTCAAATATTCTCTAAACCAACTAAAACTAAGAATGTGATTCGCTTGCTTTCAGTCCCAAACACTTAAAAGATGTCAGCTTTTACATGTAGTTCTAAAGATCTTAAAATCAAAGAATAAAGAAAGCTATCTTATTATACAGACCATGTTGGTTGATACTCTGTTTTAAACATATCAAGTTAGGTATGAGACACAAAATTTCTCTGTACTCGTTCCAAGATTAGATTAGGGTGGTTAACCCTTCTAATGGTTACTGAACTCCACAGAAGCTGGTGCTATGAAATGTTCAAAATAGCTCTTCTTTAGGCCTTCATTCAATACGTCCCAGAATTGAGGATCAGATGTGATCCTCTCTATACTCATGCCTTTGTTAGTATAGATAACAAAGTCACACCAACTTGCTCCTGTAATACTAGTTGACCCTGTATCTGAAAGTAGTACTGGTGCCCCCTTTTTAGCCTCGGCTTTCCATTTACATTTTCTGCATAAAAAGTTTCATCGGCACATGCTTCTAAAGGACTCACATGAAATTTAGAGTAGGGACATTTAACTTCTACCAGCCCAAAAGGCTTGCTACAGCCTCGGTCAATGACCTTGCCATCTGGTGATGCTGCTAAAAAGGGAGAGGCCATACTGACAACAAGGCCACTTTTCAACACTGAAACAGGGTTCCTTGTTGAAAACATATATTTTTCATATTATCTAAAGGCTACAGGCTCATAGGTTTTCCCATGTGCAGTTTGTTTGGCAGTGAATGGTTTGGGATGAAGCAGATTATTTACTAGAGTGTTATGATTCCTTTGCCCTTTTACAATTGTGTGGAAATTAGATGCTGTATACTGAAATTTCCTTTCAGCCTGCCATTCCTGTGAGGCAGCTTGTTCACTTGTTTTCTTCTCTATGGTATTAAGCTTTGCCTCATCAACAATCAAATGATCCAGGAGTGCTTCCTGGTTGCTGCTTAAATCATCTGGCTTTTCATACTGCTCAGATTGTTGCAAAGGGAATGGAGGATATACAGAAATAGCATTTTGTTCATCATTACAGTCCACTCTAGGCACTGAGTCAATATTACAGAAAACTTGAAAATTAGACTCTGTGAACTGTAACTGGTAACTTGCATATGAGCCACTTGGACATTTTCCAAATTTTGTTTCCTGTAAGTTGGTACCACCAGTAGACATAATTTGAGACAAGGCAAACTTGGGGTTGATCTCTTGAAGCTTGTTTTTTAACAAAGCTTCATCAGATGCTTGTGTACCCAAATTTTTCCTAGCTTCATACAACAAGCACCTTACTCCACTATCAGGGTTATACTCTGTGTCTATATTTGACTTTTTTACCTCAAGTTCCATGACAGGTTGGGGCTTGATTTTATCTCCTCTTACAGGCCTGTGCCATAGTTGTAAACTTGTAGTGCATGCCTTAGCTTGTGTCATATCAGATTCATTTTCCAAGTCCTTAATATCTTGACAACAATACAAGCTGAACTTACAGAGTTTCATAATAACAGCAAGCACATGATTGCAAAAACCAACAGATCCTGCTACACATGTACACGAAGCATATTTAACAACTCCACTCACTAAACAAAGTGCAACTTGTAATTTGTGGGGTGGATCATTTTTTTAAAGCTATGGTAACACAAGCATTTGAAATAGAAATATTGGTCATCACTTGCGCAAGTAAAGTCTTTCAGGTATTCATCATCAAGAAATGTTTTTGCCTTTTTCATGCTTGTTGGAACAGCATGGTTCTGTTTATTTCTGTCAAAGTTTTTTCCAGATTTAGAAATATGTAAATCCATCTCTGTCCTTGTGAATAATGGCATTCGTTGCAAACTTGTAGACCATCCGGCTGATGGAAATTTAACAGTACTTTCCTCAGGCATCGCATCACTTTGAGCGAGTTGTTCTTGTCTCGCCTTTCGACGCGTGTATATCAGATTTTTATCGGGATCCACAACATCTTTATCACGACCAGACGCAACATATTCAAGAACTCTTCAAAATGAAAAGTAGAAAAACTATTAATCATTACATTTTTGAAACATTTCATCGAGAAAAATAACTCCTAAATCTTTTGATCTCCATTTACAATATCAAAGTCTCTTTTAATTCTAAAAAGTATCACGAACGACTGACAAATACTGTACTTACCTTTTCGACAATTGTGCCTTTGTTTTTAACCCCTTTGCTGGATCGCCACGACATTTTAACCAAAAGCGAAGTTCATCTGTTTTATGAGCAGTCGGATTTCTTCCCTGAAGCGATGCTCCGGGGATATCTTCCTCCGTAAGACTCTGAGAAAGACGGCTACTTACAGAGCCATGAGCGGCCATATTTCTAACACGAGTAAACAAGGCCCAACTAGCCTCGTTTTCAAGTTGATCGCTCCCAGTCTCTTTTCGTTCTGCATAGGGTGAATACTTTCGGAATTCAACGATTGGCGTCGGTGAGGTTCCGAAATCTTTCTGGGCCCGACAAGTTTCCGAACACGTCACACAGTGTCGTCGCGTAAGTGGCGTACTTTGCAAGCAGCACAGATGTGGTTGTTGAAAATCCACTATAAAATGAGCAAAGCACTCCAACAGTTGGTGGAGCACATTGATTTACGTGCTATCAACAATAAGCAAGAACCTCCTCTTGAAGGAGATCAACAAGACGATGTTTTAGGAGATGAACTGGACACGGAATTTTGGATTAAGGTGAGCTTCGTGAAATGTACTCAGAGGAAAAATTCTTATGTCAGGTATTTTCAGATATCAGAACGAACTACGTGTATGTCGGAAATAAATGTGTCTGATCCTCATCGAAAACTAAGCTTTATTTTGGGGCAGGTGAGTACCTTAGAGGCTCAAAACGCCGATTTATAACCTCGGGATGTGTTTAAGTCAAATGGCTATTCAGCTCCAGGTTAGCGATCATCTTTTACGTATAGGTCCATGAGAGGCAGAAAGAAGGGCAGATGTTATGGAACAGGGCAATGGATGAAGTTACTGTGGAAAGGCTGATCCAGAAATACAAAGATAATGGGGAACTGGACCGTGAGGATCCAGCACTGTTAATGTTAAAAGCTTGGCCAGCATCTAGAAAGTACAAAAGTAACCCTGATAAACTTCCAGGCCTTGAACAAGTGGTATGTTAGTTCTGTATGAAATAGCTGTCTTACATATTATTTCCTAAACGGATTTGTTGAATGGAGCTTGTATCATATATTCAGGAATGCATCCTTGCTCTTTACCTAGAATCTAATCCTTACAGCTCTCTAAAGGAAGTATTTAAGTTTGGGAGAATTTTGTCTGGCCTTTGGTCATGCAGAAATGGCTGCTTGTTAGGGTAAATGTAAGCAGTGCTGTAAACATCAAGAGATCATACAGTTTTTAATCACAATTATTATTATTATTATTATTATTATTATTATTATTGTAACCATGACATTCTTTTAAGAGAAATACAACCATTCAAGGCAAATGAAAACATGGAAGAGTAACAGATCCCTGAAGTAACAGCAAAATTAAGAGTGTCAGAGAACTGATTTAATAATATTATATACATAGTAATCTGTTAGGTTGTTATTGTTGTTGTTGTCTTTGAGGCTTTGAACGCAAATGATGTTTGGTCTTTTTGTACACCTTTGCAAGCTGTATGCCTAAAATCCCTGTTAAAATTTAACATCCATTAGGGTTCTGCAATTATTGTCAAAACATAGCAAACTACACATTTGTTTGAATAAATGACCTAATTTTGTTGTAAAAATATGGTAACTTTCTTTATCGAGTCGAATGAAGCACTTGGCATTTTCTCTTTACAGATAAATCGTTATTTGGAGATTCTTCTAGATAGTGAAATGAACTTAGACAACTAATATGAGAAGTTCAGAGACAAAGAAGACAAAATCAAGAGGACATTAATGCATTATGCGGCAGAACTTGGTTTTTTAGATGTAGCAAAAACACTTGTAAAAAAGTGTCCTTTGCTCCTTGGTCTGAGGACAGCAAAACAGGTAGAACCTGAGAAAATCAGACGTTTGTTACCAGCTGAGTTGGCATTAGTGGCAGACAATGATGAGATGGCTGCTTACTTGATCAGAATGATGTGGCATGAAAGGTAGAGTGACATCGGTTGGAAAAAAAGGGTTAGTCTAGATGTGTTGCTACTGTCACCCTGGATGGAATGCTTCATTCCATCATGGGATGTCTTCCTTTCTCCCTTTAGTAATGTGTCTTGCTTGATAATACAGCACCTTGATCTCCCTAGGAATTACATCTAGACCTCTCAACCTGAGCTCAAAAATGATAATAACCATCAAGTCAGCAGAGGGGAGAGGAGAGGGGTAGTAAAACAATCAGAATACAAATTCTTAAAATAACCTATTAATTAGTTTCACATAAATTTTATTCTTTAATTTTATCCCAATTCTCTTTCGTATGCAAAGGTTATTTTCTTGGAAAGCTGATGATGTGAGAAAACCTCAGCCATCTTTCTTCAATTTACATTCCATTATTGAGAATCCTAAAATGAAGGTAAGGAGATACTTATAAAGACAACTAGTGCATTGATCAATTCAAAGCCACAAAGTGACTGGCATTTGATTCAAAGACCTTCCCAGAGGTGGAGAATTTCAAGTTTGCATGGGTGGGGTGGGGTGGGGAGTTTGATCCGAGTTGATTTGTGCATAACAGATTACTTGAAGGGTTAACCCTTTAGCCCCAATAGTGACCAGCATCTAATTTCTCCTAACAATATAACTGCCTTATCAAATGTACAGGTAATGAGAATGAATGCGATGATCACCAATGATGAAATGTCTTGATGTTTGAACAAATTCTCTCAATCAGTAAAATAGGAAACATATGGAGAAACAGTGACGCGAATATACATGTTGATATTGGGGCTTAAAGGGTTAAGAAGATGTGTGCTGAATTGAAGTGCATTCATTATTATCTCCATGACCTCACACACAGAACATAGAGAATCAATAGAACCTTCTCGTCTGGTTCATATTGATACAAAAGATGATTGTTTTTCATCGCATTTTCAGAAAACAGTAGTGGCTTTATTGGACCAAATGGTGATTCCCCATTGGACTTATCTACCACAACGCAAAGACACCTATGACACAGATGAAGAGGAAGAAGGAATTGAAGGAGCCTGGAGTACAATTACTGATGATCCCTTGAGCTATCATTTTTATTATCACATTTTAGATGGTGATGAAGGAGGAAGACCTCCAAAGATTACAGAGTCAGTGGAAGATAAACAGATCGATAACAAGTACTTTAGCCTCAAGGACAAATCATGCTTACTCTTGATTGCAAAGAGCAAACATATGGTAGGGTAACAAACTGATGCCAAAGGTATTAATCATATTTCTCCATATTCTTGGATTTATAAAAAAAAGGGGGGCTGTTGCAGTCTGTTTTGAACTGCTTGTCAGACTCTAACAGTTCAATGAACATACTTAAAATAGCTAAGAAAATTAGACACCTTGTACTAGCTTGCACTGTAACAAATTTCTTACAAAAAATATTTCTTACTCTCAATTTCAGGAGGCTTTGCAGCATCCTGTGGTCAGGATGTTGATTAAAACAAAATGGAACAGTTATGGATTTGTATTTCTCTGGTAAATTTGTTTGATGATTTTATGGGGTTAAAGTAATATAACTTACAGGTCAAGGCAGACCAGAGAATGTTCTTAAAGGGGAAAAGCTGGTATCCCATTGCAAACTATCTGAGTTGTTGATTACTTTCTCTCAGAGATTAAGAGCTGGGGTCAATTAGCTTCTATAAAAAAATTATGAATAAATTACTTGTTTAAATTTATGAGGTTTAATCTTTAGAACAAAAACATCAAGAGGCAATTTTTGTCTCGAGGAGTAGTAAATATAAAAGAGAATTGAAAAGGCTTCACCACTTGAAACTTTCATCAGGATGATACAGTCAACATAATTATGTACGAATTTAACCTTGCTTGCTTTCCTCAGCCTTCAAGCGGCATTCTATGTCATCTTCTTGCTCTTCTTGTCGTATTCTCTGATACATGGCTCAACTAGAACGGATCCCACCCAGTACAGGGGTGTGACGGATTTCTTGTGTGGAATTTGCGAGGTTGTCACTCTTGCTATGGCTGTCTTTTATATCTGTGAGGAATTCAATCAGATGAGAGTGTAAGTGACACTTGTTCTTAATCAGACAAGCGCCTCACAAGTGAAAGCTCAATTTGCATTGGGAATCATTACCCCTTGGTGAAAAAGGAATTTAAATCTTGTTTAAATATGTCCTGTTTTTGCAAAGTGGTTCATTTTGGCTTCAAACAGATTTAAGATGATAAAACCATGCAATTGTAGATCAGTTTATATGTCACATTTTAGCATTTCTAAGCGTTCAAATAATACTCACAGTGACAAGATAGAATTTCCCTCTTTGTGTCTTTGTGTTTGTGTATGATTCTTGTTCTCCGTATACGTTTCGTAAAATATATTGTTATGCCATGTGACCAGGCCTGCCGCATGATGCAGTTCGGCCATTGTTCTCATAATTTGTACATTTGTCAACTGTTTTCCATGTTGGAAATCCAATGATACTTATGAATTTAACTCTGAAGGACAAGAAAACTAGTCAACATAAATTCCTCTACTGCTCGACTCTCCGTTTACGGCAGTAATATTTTAAGAGTCCAGAAAGTCTGATGATAGGGTAAACGCAATAGGGAACGGCCTGGGTTGAGGAAGGGAAGGGAGCGCTGGTTGATTACGGAGCCTAGCAGCCCTGATTGATCACACCTGAAAAAGAAAAAAGGCCACTGAATTAATTGCGTTATTATTAAGAGAGTCACATAAATGAATACACAAGAACAAACATTATTTTGTCTGATTTTTATCAGAGATGGGAGCTCGTATTTCACAGATTGGATGACCCTGTTTGACTGGTTAGGCCTGCTGCTGATCCTGTGTATAATGCCTCTACGGTACACTCACAGCAAGTTACAGTGGATGGTGGCTTCCTTAGCCTTCCTTTTCAACTTCTTGAGGATATTTGAGTTTTCCTGCGTGACAAGGTAACCTTAGCACCCGTTGTAACCGTCGTAAAAGTCAAGACTACAGAGATAACACTTTGGAATAAGTTGCTTACATTGGTAATGAGTCAATTTATAAATCTAACACAGATTTCAGACTTAAGGCCTAGGCGTCGGTTCTGCCGATTTTAGATTCTCAAAGAGAAAACTGAGAAAATTTGAATCCAGTTTTGAGAAATTTGCGTTTTCAAAACGTCTAACCATCCTCGCATCTTCTCCAGGACTACAGGGTTATACACCAAAACCTTGGCGAAGATCATTTTATACGATGTCACCAAATCTATGACTGTTTTCGTTGTCATCTTCCTCTCCTTCTGTGGTGCAATAGCTTTATCTCTCCGTTACTCCACTGAAAACCACCACTTTAGGTGTGTATTGATCTCTCCTTCATGAAGCTTTGTTTTATTCTGGAAAAGAGTTTCTAGCGGGGGTTTTGGTCATTGGTTTGTTTAAGGAACAATGCCAGTGTTAGTTGGCAGTTTTAAGATCAAAACTATTTGGTTTGGTTGACCGAGAAATTCTCAATATTTACATTTCAAGATTACAATGATGATAATTTGAATCAAGGATATGTGAGCTTCCAAAACGGCATGGTCTTCATTGAGCCCGAGTTAAGTGCTGAAAAATGTATCATTTAAATTTGCGATGATTTTTGTATTTACGTATAATGTATTACGCATATTATTGTTTTAGGAACCTTGAAGACGTGTTTATCAGCGGATTTCGTGCATTGACTGAACAACAACCTATGGTGGTAGAAGATTACTCAGCATTCAAGTAAGTGCGACTGACAAGGAGAAATTATTTTTAGCAATTTTGGTTATCTAGATTATTTAGTGATATCTACCACTTGGACGTTGCAATTATAGGCACAAAATATACTAACACGTCTCTACAAATCAGTTAATATTATCCGTCGTAGTTTCGAACGAGAGCGTGGCTAATGTTGATTCTCCAACACTAAAAGCAATTGTAAGCTTGCCTTCAGTCGTTGTACTCCAGTCAAGTAACCAGCTGCAGACCTCCTTTCACGCAGGCATCTTCTTGAGAGAGCAATATTTCTGTAGCTGGGATTATAATCCTGAAGGTGGCTCTGTTTTGAAAAGTTTGCAATTTTTTAATCCCAGTGTTGTATCTTGCAGCTGGCTTTCAATTCTGCTGATGATGGCTTACATGGGAACAGTGACTGTGATTCTCCTCAATATTCTCATTGCACAGATGAGTACGACATACACATAGGTCAAGAAAGTCGCTCGTCTGGAATATGATGTGGATCGTATTTTACAGCTCACTCGCATAGAGAGATTTCCTTTTCTGGTATGAACGCATTCGTCGCTGATGAATGTGCGGCGTCTATGAGGGAGATAAAGAACCGGCAGGGAAAGGAGGAGGTTGTGAATATTAGCATTCCTCGTTTTATATATTTCTTTTCTTATGCAGAACTTGCGGGTGAAGTATTACAAAGAGGGAGATTGGATCAGTGAAATGAAACTCGCGCAAGGTATGAGTGAATAATTTTACTAGGACTGCTTCCAGCTCCATTGTTATATACAGCAGTATGAGAAAACAGTTTTTGTTGTTGTTATAATCTTGTTGAAAGAGGTGAGATGAAGGAGACCTTTTACTCAATTAAACAGAGAAAATATACTTTGCCTTCCTATGCCTTAGCAGCTGCAAGGCGCTTCAAATGTGATCTTGGTTTATTTGTAGAGCTTCTTGAATTCAGTGAGGATCGCAGCCCTTGGGAGTCGGTGGAAGAAAAACTTACTGCGATCCGGTAACTATCATTCCTTATCATATTCCCTCTCTTTCATTAACTTTTTCTCTCATCAACAACTGACGGGCTTTCGAAACTGAGACATACTTACATGCACTCATCTTCTTCTGTGTCAGTGGCCATGTTTCACATCTTTTGTTGTGATTTTTGCTCAGGGATATGATGAGAAAGATGGTGAAACAGATGAGGCCTGGAAGCGGATGAATGGAGCTCTATCTGCCTTCATAACTATGGTGGGATTACTTCCTTAGTCTCCTTTTTTATGCGCTGATTTCTTTAGTCATTTAACTCGCAATTTTCATACGACAGCATTGACGCTATACGATTGCTGAGCCAATCAGATCTAAAAGCCTAGGGCAGTATAAAATGCGTTCAAGCCATCGATTGGTTGTAAATAAAGGCTAAGTAAACAACAAAAGGAAAAGGCCACCGAGCTTTCGTAAAACTGTTTGAAACTGCTTCATTTTGTAACCGACACTCTTGACAGTAAACCTAAGGGTGATTAACATAACGTGTTCGAAAAATGAAGGTCACCTTTGAGTAATTTTTTTCATAGAAAGTATTTGTTTTTTTCTTTGTTTATATAGTCAAAATGCATGTTCCACATAAATATCTACGAGACGTGACGGTTAACTATGATATTTTTAGTTCAATGAGTTCTTTTACTTATCGTTTTACCACGTATCCTTTAATTCAAGAGTGTGGTATACATTTTAACAGAACCTAAGTAAAATCAACCGGAACGGTAGCGGGTTGACTCTTAGTGCGATCAGGTGATAAGGATTCCGTGAATGCTTCCCTTTCTCAGTATGTAGAGCGCAATTCGAACGAGAGTCGTAAAATCAACAGATAAATTATCATAGTAACATTGAGAACAAAGGAAAATAGCTTAAACAGTCAAAAGAACTCAGGTAAAACAAGCAAACTGCTATAAGAGCGGATACATTTATCTACTTCGCGGCCGTACTTCGAGGCCGTCCTTTGAGGTGCCACGTAACGTATTTTAATGAAGCCTCTCTTGGGTGAAGAGTTGCGTGACATTTCAAAGAACGATTGAGAAGGACTCGTGACTACGATTTGTTTCAGTTCAGAATCTGATTAAGTTGGTTGAAAGGAAAGCGCGACCTTTGTTTTACTATTACTTAGCAAAACCAACGAACTCTGAGACTACTTTAGACTTTTTGACATTCAAGTAGATTTCCCTTCAGTTTCCCAACCATGTTTCTTTTTCCAGGGATACGATGAGAAAGATGGTGAGATGAGGCCCGGACAAGATTAGAACGAGTGTCTGTGTGCATGACTCTGTGACACAGTCATTCGGCCATTGTAATCAATGCTGGTTTTTATGTGACAATGTTGGACGTGAACTGTCTTTAAGGGAAAAAGAGTGGTGGTCGTTATGAGAATTTCGTCAAATCACTCACAAAGCAGCAATCAGGGCTATTATTCTAAAACAAACAGTGAGAACAAACAGTGCGGACGAAAATAAAGGAAAAAAAAGAGTGAAAACCGGTGTGACAGATAGCTGATTTAAATGAAGAGATAACGTAACCACGCGAGGAAACAACGGAGCCGACTTAAGCGACTCGATTCAAGAGGAAAATGCAAAAATGACTTATAAATGCAAGTTAGTATGATAGAAAGATTATAAAATACTAAAGTCCGCTCCCCAAGTTATCTTGGATTGCTTCCATGAGGATGTCACAAGCAGTAGTCACTCCTAGCTTTTAAAGTTCTGTGTGTGTACAACCATGGGTGCGTTTCAAATTCTCACGAGACCCAGACCCAGAGCTTGGTAAAGTGTCTCAGTGGGGTTAACCGTTAGGCGTAAACCGGCCAAACAAAATCTGGTAGTTAGGGGTAAAACTGGCAAATTTCAAAAGTTAGCTGTAAAAAAGTTTACCGTATAAAATATTTTTGGTGACAACGGCGGAAAGATATTAACCGTTAGCCGTAAAGTGGCTAAAATTTTAACCGTTAGCCTTAAAGCCATCACCCCAACGAGACCCTCAATGTAAAGGTCTCATCAAGCTCTCCTAGGGAAATATTTTACGACCAACCCTCGTCTTCTCAATTAACACTTTTTTTTTTGTTTGTTTTCGCAAGTTCATGATGGCGACACTATAGTTTCACGCAACTTTGTAAATCAAGCTGTACTTTTACAATAGTAAATTAATTGCACAAATGTAGCGTGGTTCGAAGTGCTTACTGATTTATCTAACTACTGTCTTATTTTCTCACGTTGATATTTATCTCAAAAATCTAACTTCAATCCGTCTTTTGCCTGTAGTTTCCGTGGAATTTCGTTCCATCCGTAAGACAGATTGCTCATCTCTTAGAATTTATACTTGATTACATTCTGAACAAATGTCAAAAAGATCAATTTTCGAATTTTCTGATTACACTTGTTTAGACATTAACTGTCTCTGATTACACACCGTCTGACCGTTAAATGTATAATTTATAATGGAAAGGACTGCAGCAAATACTGCTTAACAGCACAAAAACTTATCAAATCGAAGTCCTTACTAAATGTCTTTCAGCTTCAGTTTCTCGTAATTTATGAAACGTTGTGTTCTCTACATCATAAAGGAATCTCCAAGCAATATTTTCCTTATGGAATACTCAAGCTGATACAGCAAAGGACTTTCCACAATTTTTTCGCCCTGCATATTGAAGATCCTCTTTTCATCAAGACCATCTGGGATCCAGTCATCATTGGCTCTTTCCGTCGTCAAGTATACAATTATCAGTTTGTCAATAAATTCTCTGTTCCCCGTGAACTCTTCGTGTATAACCTTCCCATCAAAAGTAAGGAAATCTTCGTCGCCCTCTTGTTTTTTTTCCTTTATGAGGGTCGAAGTGTGGCGTGATCCGACCAAAACGATGCAGTCCCCTTTGGCAGCGAAGTTCACTCCTAAAATCATCTTCCTCAGCTGAAATTTGAGTAATGGTTCTCATGTCTGCCATGTTACACAGCCTACATTGCAAATAATCGCGTAGTTTCCTGGCTTTGTCCTTTTCGCTTTCTGTGTAAAGAAGCATAACGTATTTCATTTCTGACTCCTTGAAATCCCGCGTGTGTTGAACAGATATGCACAGAAAGTCGAACTAATATGTCCTGTGCACTTAAGTTCGTAGTTGTGCCCGACGAATTCAAGTGTTTCTGAAATAGACCACTGAGGAGAAACTGAAATGGCACCGTTTAAACACCACGACTACGGTCGATAGGCTGCCTGATATATAGTGGTGGTGAAAGTGTGGAATGATCGAGTTGCTCAATGCTATGAAAAAATTGACTCGAAAAATTAACAAAACTCATGGCCGACATGCCATAGAAAGTGCACATAAAAAATGCTAAGAAGCCGGGATTCAATAGTGCGCTTCATTAGCAGCCAATTCTTAGGCGGTGATCCAGAGATGTAGTGAATACATGCCTTCTCACGTATTTTCGCGACTTTCTGTGTGGAACGTTTTGTAAAGTTTGACGCCACTTGATTTGCGTTAGCCGGCAAGAGTTGATGCTAGATGGCGCAAGTTGACTGATCAGAATGAATCTATTTCGTTTGGCCAAAATTCTGACAACTCTGTGTAAGGAAGAGGCACGTGATATGAACGGTCTGTGAAATTACAGCTAATCTGTCTTTAAAAAGATTTAATCGATTCTTTGAAATTTTGGTGATTTTGTGTTCAATTCAAATGAAAAACACTTTTTTTGTGAGTTCATGGATTTTAGATAATTCGCTTGAGCATCTTCTCTTCCCCTCTAAAAAGTATTCAAACGAACAGTGTGTTAGATTTGTTTCTTTATTACTTCCCATGCCATCGACGGAGCGATGCGGTCAACAAAATCCGTCGCAGACGATCATCAGGCCAATACCGCGAAAAAATGAACCTTGAAATAGTTGGGACGTGAGATGGCAAAATGGAATCGATTTGCTAAATTTCAAGTTATGACAACGGTGAATATAAAAACGCTGATAACTCGCAGAATAACACGCTATTTTAAAAATATAAGTCTTTTCGAACGGTCACAGGCATCTGGAAAAAAATACAACAACAAAACAAAAGCACAAACACTGACACGACCACACTAACATATCAAGAAAAGAATATCGATAACAGAAGGCAACCTATTCTGTGTTCGAGAGGTCTGTCGTGTTCCTAGCCTTGTTGTGTTGTTGTTGTTGTGGTTGCTAGCAATGAATCTTGATATTTTCTTAGTAAATCTTGCGAGACACCAGTTGTCTGTTTGTTTTCTTTTCCTGTCCATATGGATTTATCGGATTGCCTTCTGTTGCTGACCAAAAGGTTTGCGGTTTCAGGAAATAGCCCCCGATAAGCGATAATAGTGAGCGGCACATTGGGCATCCTGTCAACTGCTTTCGCGAAGGGCACTTTATGTCTCTGTTAGGCAACTAAGACTGGATTAGTTTTTAAGCTTTAGGACTGATATGCTTGGAAATATATGATTCAGAAATGAGTAAAGAAGAACAGCACAACGGAAAAGTAAATAACTGCGAACAAGGACCAAAGCCTGGCGTTGATCGACATCAAGATGTTGGCTTGGAAAATGAATATGACGTTGAGTTTTGGATGAAAGTAAGCTCAATTATCCCAGAAGTGGGTAAAACTTTGAGCTTTTATGATTTGGAAATTCAGTTAATTGATGAACGTTTTACCGTTGTGTTCACTTCGTAAACATTGAAAATAAAAATTTTTCGGGACATATTTTAACCATAATTTCCTTTTCGGCGGCGTGAAGATACAATTTGTGTTCATTACTGTAATTGTTTTGGTTCTGTTATTTTATGAGAAAATGAAATTGTGAGGGAAAGGTGAGATGCCAGCATATGGATCGCTCTGTGGCAAGTCTTAAAACCCTCCATAGTTAAAATCAGTTAATCGTCATTATATTATGCTAGAGCATACCTATGTTTTAGGTTCGTTTGAAGCAGAGTAATGGACTGACATGGAGTAGAGCCATGGATCAAGTAACTGTTGAAAAACTAATTCAGAAATATAAGGATAATGGAGAATTGGAAAGGGAAGATCCAGCACTTGTGATGTTAAAACAGTGGCCAGGGTCTAAACAGTACAAAGATAACCCTGAAGCACTTCCAGGCCTTGAACAGAAGGTAAAGTCGAATAATCTGTGTTTGGATCATTAGTCAATTATTTTCTTGATGAAAATTGAAGGGCATATTATGCATTATGTCATGCGAGAGGAAAGCTTCTGTAAAGTGGTAATTGCTATGCCAAATAATTAAATGAAAATTTTTTTAAAATGATGACGCGATGTACAGGACAAGAAAGACTGGAATATCATTTATTTATTAACACTTTGTCAAGTACCATGTTTGAGATGACATTGTTTGTCAACATATGATGATTGTTGACATGTTTTCTTGCAGATCAATGGTCTCTTTGAGATTATTTTAGAAAGTGAACTGAATGTATACAATAAATATCGGACATTCAGAGATGAAAAAGACAAAACAAGGAAGACATTGCTGCATTATGCCTCAGAACTTGGATTTTTACTTGTGTGTAAAACATTGGTGAAGAAATACCCAGTGCTTCTAAATTTACAGACAGAGGAAGTTAGGGAAATACGAACCATGTTACCAGTTGAGTTGGCCTTGGTTGCAGAAAACGATGAAGTGTCAGCATACTTGATTAGGATGATGTGGCATGAAAGGTAAAATGCTAACTGTTGCTTCTAGAAATGACACTTACTATTCAAATTAGGAAATGTTCCCAAAAAATTATCCAAGGGCAAGATAGATTACCTCCCTGGCAAGCAGTAAATCAGTATGAAAAGCCCAGCTCAAGCTGCATTTCAATGCAACTTCAAAAGGGAAGTTTAGTTTGGATTCCTTTTCGCCCTGTTTTGTTAAAGCAATATTTCTGAGAATAAAAAAAATGATACAACCAAAAAAAAACCCTAAGGAAAGGTTAGAAATCCAGAAAGCACATGGTCAGCAATTCAAGGAATTGTGTGCGTGAAATTCAAAACTTATGTAAATATCAAGTATCTATTATTGCCATGGTACACATTTACATCAAGACAATTATTTTGGAATAGAGTCAATTAGAATGGTCTGTTAGAGTGTGTGAACTGAAGGCTTAATTTGGTTACAACAAGTTATATTTCATCACAAAGATGATTCATACAGTGAGGGGAGTTAAAAATATATATGCAATCATCATCACAAATAAATTTACCCAAGCATTGTAAAATATGTCAAATTGAAACCAGAAAGAACTTGTGGGTTATATTACCGATATTAATTTTTCTCATTCAATTCATTTAACCCTTTAACTCCCAGAAGTGATTAGCATGTAGCTTCTGGCCTGGATATCCATACATTTTACAGCAAAAGGGTAATGACAATACCAAAACTTATATGTTTGAAGTTGTCATCTTGATCTAATACCAAATTCTCGTCACTAATTTACAAGGAAATGTTTAGCAGCTAGAGAGGAGAATTAGCAATCAGATCTTGGGAGTAAAAGGGTGAAAAGATACATTAAGATTGGTATGGAAAACAAAAATAATGATATAAGTAATAAATTATTGACAATGATGATAATGTTAGAAATAGGTTCTGTGTTGTCAGTTAGGTCAAGTGATCTGGAGTTCTCATCAGTTGACATGTTGTTTTTATCTGCTGTTAGAGTCCAGAAACTATTTTTTTGGAGACCAAAAAATATCGCAAATCCAAAGCCATCTTTCTTCAGTTTTAAGTCCTTTATTGAGAATCCAAAAATGAAGGTGGGTATTATGATTTTGTATACATCAACTGAGAGATACATGCAGGCCTGTTCCTATACAAAATGCATTTTTTTCATTGGTACTTAACTCATCTCATGCTTTAAATTTTTCCTCTCATGCTTAAATCTTCATATTATCAGAATAGTTTTTAGCCAAGCAGATCATCAAGGAAGACAACATTGTAACAGTTGTGTTTTGTAGATTTTTTAAATGTACTTTTGAACTGCATTAGGGAATTTATAGTTGCCATTTGTATTTGATTTCCACAGAAGACAGTAATAGCTGTACTAGATCAGATGATGAATCCCCACTGGCCACACCTTCCAAAACGTAAAGACAGCTATGAAAATGAAAAAGAGAAGGAGGTTGTTGAGGGAGCCTGGCGTACAATCACAGATGATCCTTTGGACTATCATTTTTACTATCATATTTTGGATGGTGATGAGGGAGGACGACCCCCAAAAGTTATGATGCCAGGAGGACATGCATGGACGGAAAACAAATATTTCAACTGGAGGGACATGTCTTGTTTACATGTCATTGCTAAGAGCAGAAATTTGGTAAGGTTGAGGTTTTTAAAAAAGTAATTATTCTGTGTGTGGTAATCCTGTGTTTGGAGATATACATGCAGGAGTTATCCAAAATATTTGGTTCTCTAGCTTGTTATATCAAGGGGTTGTAGCAACACTCTGAGAGTTTTGGGCTCATTAGCTGAGATACTGTCTTTTACTCATGTTCACTAGCTCATCTAGTTAAAATCTTTTGATTTGGTACATTTCTTGCTGTTCCAGTAGCATATCACTCATATTCTTGCTTAAACATTTCTTTCGGTTTTGCAATTTTTCAGGAGGCACTTCAACATCCTGTGGTCAGAATGCTGGTTAAAGCAAAATGGAAAAGTTATGGACACTTCTTTCTCAGGTGCATGTGAACCCAGCGGAAAAAAGTTGGTTACCTAAGATTGTTTCATCATTCAATTGAAAAAAAAAAAGAAATAGAAATGACTGTGTTGATCCAAGCTGCTAGTAATGTATTGGAGCAAAAGAAGGGTTTAAAGTGGAATTATAGAGAAGAAATAGAGACTGAGGTTAGAGTAAGAATTCCCGGAGTGTTCCAATCCATCTGCCAAATAATAGATTTTTTTAGATGCCTGGATATGGCCTTCAGATCTGTTACTACAAAAAGCTGAAATGAAGCACAAATGAAAGCATTATAATGTATACTTGTAAAGTAAAATTTATTTGTACTTATTAATAATGTTGCTATTTATTTCACAGCCTTCAAGCAGCATTTTATGTGATCTTCTTGCTGTGTTTGTCATATTCTCTGTTGAGTGCTTCCACAACAGTAGACCCCACCCAATATGGGGGGGAACCTGATTCACTGCGTGGATTTTGTGAGATTTTCACCCTAATTATGGTGGTCTTTTACATATGTGAAGAAATTAATCAAATGAGATTGTAAGTATGCAATTCTAGTTAGTGTGAAATCAGGTTAGAACACCATTTTTAGCCAAAGCCCCGGACATTTTACCATTTGCAAGTGTACATGTAGGTTGATATAGATTAGGGAAGACTTGGTAGTAGTTTAGAGGTGGAATTAATTACTACACAATCAACTTTGAGCGTTTGCCCTTTGTCAGATTGAGTAGAGGTGATGGAATTGTTAGGTCATGGTAAGGTTAAAAAAATAAGAATGAATTAATTCAATGAAAAGTGTTCTTTGCAAACCTTTAATCTGTCTGACTTCCCCTAGAGAGGGGAAGTTGTACTTCACAGAATGGATGACCCTGTTTGACTGGTCAGGCCTGTTGCTTATCCTGTGTATAATACCCTTGCGGTACACGCAAAGTAAAGCTCAGTGGCTTGTGGCATCTTTAGCTTTCTTGTTCAACTTCCTGAGGATCTTTAAGTTTTCTTGCCTGACAAGGTAAACTGCATCATAAGCTACGTTTGATAGGTTTGAGAGAATGTCAGCAAATTAGAACAAGAAAATAATATCTGTGAAACTTACTCACACAGTTGGATTAGGTTTGGATTTTGGTTAACTAGCCTAATTTACAATTAGTGCAACCCCGCCATCTTGGCACCTTCATGATGGAAATTTGGACGTTTTTAAAACGTCTCAACGAAAAAAGATATAGAATAGAAAGATTAAAAAAAGCGTCCTAGGAGAGCAGACAGACGGGAGTAATGGAATTAAAAGAATAAAGAAGATGGACAATTTGTTTAAAACAGCCAAATGCTTTCCATGGAGACGACGCATGGCAACGTATCCGCCTCACCTGAAATTTTATTAGAAGACTGTTGAAAACTGTTATATTCTTATTAAGTATAATTCGAACATCATTATGTATCACATAACTTGTGTCCTTAATGTAATAGAACCGTGTATATTTTTTTTCAGGACAACCGGATTATACACAAAAACCTTGGCTAAGATCATTTTGCACGATGTGACAAGATCCATGGCGGTTTTTATTGTTATCTTTTTCTCCTTCTGTGGTGCTTTGTCTTTATCGCTCTGTTACTCCGATGAAAACCAACAGTTTAGGTATGTCTTAATCTTGCTTGCTTAAATGCTACTGAATAAATGTGTTGAATTATTTGGTTGGCTGATGTTTACTCAGCACTATCTGCGAATTTTAGTTGGATGAAATGTATATGATAACACCTGAAGTGATATGAAATTTCTGTTTATGTGTTGCAGATCAGTCTATGTGTTACAGTCCATGCTAAATCCATTTTTTTTTTTACATTAGTGACTTCGGAGATGTGTTATTGAGTGGCTTTCGCGCGCTCTCTGAGCAAAGACCAATTGCTTACGATTATTCAAATTTCAAGTGAGTTGATTTCTTTCTAAAAGGTCGAATATGTTTTTACTCCGTTTACTTGTTCAGATCTCTTTACCTTAAGATGAGTTTATTACCACTAAGATAAAAGGTGAAACTAACCACGTAAGAGCATTTGATTTATTCCTTGCAGCTGGCTCTCCATTCTGCTAATGATGGCCTACATGGGGATCGTGATAGTAATTCTACTCAATATTCTCATTGCACAAATGAGTACGACCTACACACAGGCCAAGAAAGTCGCCCGTCTGGAATATGATGTGGATCGTATTCTACAACTCACACGCATGGAGAGATTTCCTTTTCTGGTAAATGAACATTCTTCGCTAATGGAATTGTAGCATTTTATCATTAAGCGTGCACCGGTGTTCGTGATTGACGCTAAGTGGCAGCGTGCATTAGCGCCATACGTGACTGTGAGCGTGAGGAGAAGAACGTACCGTTAGGGTAGGAGGGGGCTTAGGTATAGTTGTATTCTTCTGCAATTGAGGGGTGGCCTCATAGACTTAATTACTTTTACATCTTTTCTTTATGCAGAATCTGCGCGTGAAGTATTACAAAGAGGGAGACTGGATCAGTGAAATGAAACTCGCCCAAGGTCTGCGTGAAGTATTTAACCAGGACTATTTTCACGATAATTTTTATGCGTAGCAATCGGGAAAAACAGTTTTTTTTAGTCTTGTATCCTATTTGTACTTCTCTGAACGAAGGGAGATGAAGAAGACCTTCGGCACAGTTGATACTCAGTTATAATAGAAAAGGAGTAATCTTTCTCATGCCTTAACAGCTGTAAGGTTCTTTATGTTCTTAAATTTGATCTTGGTTTGTTTGTAGATCTTCTTGAATTCAGTGAAGATCGCAGCCCTTGGGAGTCGGTGGAAGAGAAACTTGCTGCGATTCGGTAACAATTAATTGCTTTATCGTATTTCCTCTCTTTTGTGCTATCAGCTTTAGTTTTGAACTCGTTCTCTCATTACTGGACTTTAGAAAAGACCGACTTCCTTGTACTCATTCTTCTTTGTTTCAGCAGTCATGTTTCACACCTTCTGTTTTATTTTTTTGTACAGGGATATGATGAGGAAGATGGTGAAACAGATGAGGCCTGGAATCAGATGAATGTAGCTTTGTGTGCCCTAGTCCCCTTTTTATGCGCCGATTTCTTTAGTCATTTAACTGGTAATTTTTATACAACAACGTTGACGCCATGAGACTGGTTGAAGGCTCTAAGCCTTATCTGCCTCTTTTCTTATTTGTTTTCTGTGGTATATTCGTAAGAAAACAAAAGAAAGGCTAATGAAAACAAAATGAGTGGACTTAAAGGGGCCAATCAGTTCTAAAAGCCAAGTGTAGTATAACATGCGTTTAAGCAAGTCGATTGGTCGTAAATAAACTTTTAGTACACACAAAAAAGAAAACACCACCGAACTTTCTTAAAACTGTTTGAAAAGCTTCATTTTGTATCCGACACTCTTGACAGTAAACTTGAGTGTGATTAACATTGTATGCTTACGAAAAATGAAGGTCAGCTTTGAGAGAGTTAGCTTATAGAAATTACTAGTTTTTGCTTTGTTTTATATAACCACAAGACTTCTCCCACAGAATTATTTATGAAATGTGAGTTTAATTAGGAGATATTTAGTTTATACAGAGTTCTTTTATTTATCATTTTACCACGGATACTTTTATTGAAGAGTTTAGCGTACATTGAATGAAAATAAACTAAAATCAACTATTATGGGAAAGACTTCTTTGGGTTTCATTTCGAATAGAAGATTTATCAGTAGTATTTTGCAAATTTGCTACGTCGTACTGTCAGTCCTACTGACTTCAAAAACTGAAATGAAGAGCTTCATTGTAATCTTAGTGGTGTTTATGTATGCAGTAGGAAGTCCAGTGAAAGGTCCTGAGTTGTAAAATTGGAATACGTGACTTGCACAGACACCCTCTCAATACATTACCATTAAAAAAAAAAGCTTCTGCTGTAATCAATGTTAAAGGTCTCGGTTCATGTTAGAATTTGTTGTGAAAAAACAAAACAAAACCAAAAAAAAGACAATTTAAACAAGTTAACAAACACTACGTCGATAGTAGGTCAAGAGGTTGTCAGTCTACGGCACTAGAGAAAAAGAATTGAAATCACTCGGGGAGAATGAATCATCTGTCGCACACATGAAAGCTTGGTCCAATATACCAGAAAACATATAATCCGCAATGAGTAGCGAAGCCTCAGCGGGCTCTGCTTTCGAATTTTGGCTAAACAATTATATTTATCTCCCGTTCTCCCCCATCTTAATATTGCCTGGTGTTAACAAAATAAACAACAACACTTTTGCAACACTTTTTTAGGGGAAAAAAGGGACTTTTAAATCACTTATCAGACATGGATTACAAGATTTCTGTTAATTATGTTTAATGCATAGAGGGTTGTTGACTACCCACTTAAGGGAGACGTTCCAACTGCTTTTGCCACTCAATGTAGCTTAGCCAATCGCCTCAGTAAGAGGCCGTAGATTCTTTTGATTGAACTTACTAGTGCAATAGGATTATTACAGTCTTTTTAAAAAACTTTGCACCTGTCGAATGATCGTTTCATTTCCAATTTTACTGCAATGCGAAACGTAAAAGAACCAGCCTTGTTAGGTTTATCAATCTCTTCTGGGACTTTAAGTAAGGCTGAGGTCCTACTATCCATCTATTTTTGTGAAATTTTGATTTTATATGGCATATTTTTACCTATATCAATATTAGCCTAATAAGTAGCCACCTGATTTAGACACGCATAGCTCTATTCGCTATTTAACTTCTGTATTTAACTAGAGATCATATTCAGAAAAAAGTCTACCCGGGAAGGAGTATTTGAATTGTTTTTGGCGTTTTGAAATTCCAGAGAGTTGTTTATCAAGGAGAAATACATTCCCTTCAATGGTTTCAATAAATGCAAGGCACTTTCACGGGCAAAAGATATGAGTTTGTCATACACACTGAGATGGATCGCTCGCGCATTTTAAATAAGTAATTGGTACTGAACCAAGGCCTAACTGGAAAAATTATCAGTGAAGTGAGTTTTAACGAATATTGGGTTAGCAGTTACCGGGAGGAAGCTACCCTAGATACCTCAAATATGATGGCAATAACAAATCTAACAGATGACGAAAAACAAACGGAAACATTTCAAAAAAGAAGACATGCTCCCCTTCTTTGGCTGGAGGACTACAGTATAAACCAATTTATTTATCAACAGTCAACATTCTCCTTCTCATCACAGCATTTCATGGCCATTTTCTTATCCTTGTTGCCCTTCACAGGGAATCTTCCCTTCATCCGCCGTCCAAACACTTGTATCGTTGTCTGGCAACAACTGATCTGTTGTCGGTCTTGTTAGCCAGCCCTTCAATGCTATTTATTGGATGCTCGTGGTTCACAAATGATAGCCAAGGGACGCAGCCTACATAACAAGCTATGCATTATGTGTAGCTCTGTGATGACGATAGCGGCCATAAGCTTGGACAGACTTCTCGCCCTGTTGTTGGGGCTGAAATACAGACAAATTGTGGCTTTGAAGCGCACATATATTTAGGTTTTATCTGATGCCGCTGTTTTAAGCTTCATTTTAAATTACATTTGGTATACTCACGTAAACAGGCCATCTTACTTATTGATATCAATCACCTCGTACACAAAGATTTTTGGCGCCCTTAGTCATCACATATATTGTTTGAACTACCTTTTGGATTGCAGCTGCTGTTGCTGCTCTATGTATCATTTTTGATCGCCGTATAACCTTTTTTATGACATTCTAATTATACCATCTTGTCTGGTTTTAACTCGCCTCGTCCGCAAAGATCTTTCACACTCTCGGTCGTCATGACGCTTGAGTACAAAATCATTTTCAACATCAGCGAAGCCAACTAATCGCACCAAACGTGGGTACAGTTATATTTTATTGTTTGTTCTGTGCCGTATGGTGTTATGGAAATTGTTACCAGCTCTAACAAAACGTATTCATCACATGTAGCTATCTTTTGGGAAATAACAGTTTCCATAGTTTACTTTAACTCAACGTCAAACCCGTTGAAGTAAGACAAACACTGAAGCAGACGATCAGACAAGCTCTCTGCCGCCCATGGACTTAAATCCCGCTTGAGTTTCAATGACCGTTGCTTTAAAAAGTTACGGTTATCATTAGATATTCGATTTCATTAGCGTGCAAACTGTTGTTGATATGATCTATTTCCATATGAAAGACAACGAACGATAACCTTAAAGATCCCAAGCTGAAGTGAAGACACTTATCTTCGATACAACAAAAGATGAATATGGAGAAAAGCCTCTTGCACGTATGGTCCAGAAACAATTGCTTGAGTGATATCAATCCTCACCGAACGTTAACCAAGTAAAGAGGATTTTTCTTTGCCATACTATTCAAAAATGATGATAACAGAATTGTTCAAGTGAAGGCACTTATCTTCGATACAACAAAAGATGAATAAGAAGAAAAGCCTCTTGCATACATGGTCTAGAAACATTGCTTAAGTGATACCAATCCTCAATGAACGTTAACCGAGTAAAGAGGGTTTTCTTTATCATACTATTCAAAGATGATGGTAACGGATGTCTTCAATCTTGCCTCTCAATTCTTATTGATACCTGAGGCATATGGAAAATTCGTGGTACAAATTTACCTTTTTTGACACCCCATACGGTGTATTTTTGCATTTCAAATCAGAACGAAGAAAGTGATTGAGGCTGGACAGGTGCTTTTAAGACGAAAAATCTCTCGATCATTACAACTACAAGTAACCGTAAAGGAAAACGTACATCGTTTGCAGAATGATGGCGGCAGCAAATTCAACGGGAGATGGAACGCAGATGAAAACATTTGAAGAACTTGTATGTTCCTCTTCTTCGGAGGGCGAATTGCGACAATACTCCTTGCGTCTGTCAGCAGTCATCATTTTCTTTTCCCTAACAGCATTTCTTGGGAAAGCCCTGATCGTCGTTGCACTTCACAAGGTGGCTTCCCTCCACCCGCCGTCCAAACTCCTGTACCGTTGTCTGGCAACGAGTGATCTGTTGGTTGGTCTTATAGGCCAGCCTCTCACTGCTACTCTTTGGATGTCGGTTGTTTTCGAACAGTGGAGACTTTGTCGACTCGCATGGGTAGCAGCCTCCATTTCAGGGTATGGATTATCTTTTGTATCTTTGTTGACACTGGCAGCCATGAGCGTGGACAGACTTCTCGCCCTGTTGTTGGGGCTGAGATATAGACAAATTGTAACTTTGAAGCGCACATATATCATTGTCGTTGCTCTTTGGATTATAACTGTTGTCGCTACTCTATGCGAGGCGTTAGGCTCTCATATAGCTCCCTGGTTCGGTCGAATTGTCATCCCATGTTGCCTATTAATCTCAATTGCTTCATATGCAAAGATTTTCCGCGTTCTTAGTCATCGTCAAGCTCAAGTACAACATCATGTTCAACAACAGCCGAGCCAACCAAATGCACTGAACATGGTGCGATACAAAAAGGCAGTGTACAGTGCACTGTGGGTGCAGTTAGTGTTACTTGCTTGTTATGTACCAGTGAGTTTAGTGGGAATTGTGATGGCTCATAGAAAGGGAAATTCATCGCATTTAGTGGTCGCTCTTGGAATAGCGAATACTCTGGTTTATTTTAATTCGACTTTAAATCCGTTTCTTTACTGCTGGAAGATTAGTGAAGTAAGAAGAGCAGTTAAGCAGACCATCAGACAAGCGCTTTGCTGTCCAGGGGTTAGATCTCCCATTACACCCTTTCTTAGTTATTTCAAGCGAGTACGTAGCGTGACGATGCTATTAGATAACGCATCCTGTCGGATATGTCATTTCATCATAACCATTATAATTTCCTCAAATGTGATAGGTGCATTAGCTGCTTTATTTTTTGCTAATCATTCTGTATAGCTGTAATCGGACAATGTAATTGGACAGTTGGCTGTAGTCGGACACCTGTGATCGGGCAGTTGAAGTAGTCAATCACACTAAGTCCACTCATCCAAATCCACCAATCACAGAATTAAACACAATAACCATAGCAACAGCCACTTATCCTAAAAAAAGAAATTGGTAATTTTTACAATGAAGAAATTTTCTATTTTAGACAATGTCTCTAACGGAGATATTACTCCTAAATGTATTTGTTATTTTCGGAAATTGAAACGGTTATGATTAATTGGTAACAGGACTTCTTGTCGTCCAATTCTGTCAGTAATCATATGAGTGATAAACAAATTTGTTAGTCACTCGTATGATTACAGAGCGAATTGGACTCCACTCAGTCCTATTACCATTACGAATAGGAAGAAGTAGGAAGCTTAATGTAGTCGCTGCTCAAAGCTGTTTAGATATTCTCATAATAGATCATCATGGCTCATTTTGCGCACGAAAAAGCAAAAATCATGGAATCTACACGTTAACGATATCGTAGGAATTTAAGAATAGTATGTTTCACGCGATAGCAATATCCGCCAGTGAGTACAGCAACTCATAGCCAAAAATAAATAATAATAATAAAAAAAGATATGCCCGTATGAAATAAAAACAAACATTGGGTTTAAGCTTACATTTTAATGTTCTTTTTAACCACTGCACTGATATGTAAGACAAAACTATTACCACCAGTCAAAGAGGGTTGTTGGATTATTTGACATTATTTGTTTATGAAGGTGAAATGATTTCGAAAATGTTTATTTTAATTGAGGGCAGCGTTTGACTTGACGCCACACTGCCATAAGGCCAGCGGTATAGAGATTAGCACTTGATTTGTCTTTATAAAGATGTCCACAATGCTTATGAATGTAAAGGTGCCTTATTATAAATAGTTGAGTACGACGAAAACGCAAAATTATTTGAAAAGTTTTCCTTTACATCTATCATGGGTTGTTGTTTTTCGTTTAACTGAACTGAAAGGAACACTTAATCATCTACCAGTTTAGCTCTCATCGAGTTTAACTCCATAATAAATTGAAGTTTCATTTTGCTTTCGATGTAAAACAATGATATAATAAAACAAAGGTCGGTAAATCTGACTCTTAATGCTAATTTATGCTTTCATTAAACTTTATAATTTAAACAAACTTGCAGTTCTGTCTCACACTGTTGTTTAGCCAAAGACCCCATCCTTTTACCTGTGACATTCAAGAGCAGACACTTAGAATAAAATATCATACAAAACTGGTAATCAACGAAGACATTTTTTTACGTTTGTTTGATGTAAAAACTCCAGGGCACAACCGTGAACTCCAGGCAAATAAAACGCAATAATTATTAATCAAAGGACTTTCGAGCGCGTATTTTTAACCAGTTAAAGCTGACTAGTTGGTGTTTAGAAAGTACAAATTTAATCATGACAGTGTCTGAATGAATATGACCATGCTGAAGTCCATCGCGGCTCGCTCATCATGGCGATCTCCGGTCATCACAGTAAAGCAAGCCTCAGAAACTACATCAGCCGCCCTTCGAGTGAAAAATAAGAGCTTGCTCTGATATCCTTTCCGATGCGTTGAGTGGAAAGTCACATCAGTCACTGCAGCCGAGTTTTGCGGCGCTGTCATCCTGAGCGATCTTCATGTTCCGGTGAATTCGGCTGTCGCTCATTCAAAGAACACTCGCCTTGAACAGTTTGAAATAAATTATTGTCTAAATCCCCTCTGAGCAGACCAGGTTCAGTAAAATTTTTACATCTGTGAGAAAGTGGGTTAATCATCATATAAATAGAAATGAGTTTTCCAAATGCAAAACACTCAAATTTAACGCGTAAACTTTCGCAACTGCAACCAATGTTTATAAATTTTTGACGAGTATTGTTGCCTGAAGAATTTGCAGACTTATGGTAGCGTGTTTGATGTCCTTTAAAAAGTGCCACCTGTTGTTTTTCTATTTCCTATTGTTTCTTGATAATATACATGTTTTTTTATTCTTCGTTCCTGGTTCGTTACCAAAGGATTTTACCTTTATTCTTAGTTCCATGATGATCGAACCTCAATTTCGATGGGTGATATCCTAAATAATTCATTTGAACTGTCAGTAAACACAACAAATTTGTTGTTCAGTTGGTGATGACCATGGTATCGATAAAACAGCGTTAGAGATAGACATTACCATTGAGTAAGCATTGGAAAAACCTACTGTTGTATAAATTGTAGGCAATTTAGTGTTAATTAGTCACTGTAAAGGGTAAAAAAGCTGACGTTTCGAGCGTTAGCCCTTCGTCAGAGCGAATGGAGGAATTGTGGGTTGTGTGTGGGTTTATATGCAGCAAGTGGAGCCACGCCATTGGTGGGAATATGGTGACGAGAAAACAGGAATAAATTAGTTGAATGAAAAGCGCTCGTTGATTCCGTGGGGATCAAGGGTGCCGATTTGGAAGATAAATTTTTGTTCTAATGTTTTATGGCTTTCCGAATTGCCCAGATGTAAGGAAAGGCCGCAAATTGCCTTTTGGTGTATAGAATGATTAGGAAGATTAAAGTGTCTACCGACTGGCTTGGATACGTCCTTGTCATTTCTTTCCACGTCGCGAAGGTGTTCCCGGAATCGGTCACCTAGTGTCGTCTTCCTGTTTCGCCGATGTATAACTTATCGCAGTAAGTGCAAATTATGCAGTAAAAAACATTGGCGGAGGTACACGTATAGTGATCAGTGATCTTAATGGATCTCTTGGGTCCCGATATTTTCTCTACGTTATGAATGAAAGAACAAGGTTTGCATCGTGAGCGAGCGCATTTGAAACTTCCAGATTGATCATTGGTTTAAAATGAACTCTTGACTAGAAAGTTGCCTATGTTTTTGTCACGTTTGAATGAAATAAGTGGGGGTTGCGAAAAGATAGTGCCAGTCTCTGAATCGTTTTGGAGTAATTTAAAATTTTTAAGAATGATAGATTTAACTGCGTGGTTGCGAGGGTGAAATGTAAGAGTAAATAGAATGCGGTCAGTGTTATCGTTCTCAGCCGTTTGTAGTGCTGACTGTAGATCAATTTGTTGGGCACGGTGGTGGCCCGCTTGAACGACAGAGACAGGATAGTCACGTTTATCGAAAAACTAGCACACTGCCTCTGGCCCTTCGGAAAAATCAGAGTCGTTACTACACAAACGACGAAATCTGAGAAACTGTGATAAAGGTATGGAGTTCTTGACGTGTGATGGATGTGAAGATGAATACAACAAGTAACTGTGTTAATCTGTAGGTTTGTAGTAAACACTATTGCATAAACCGTTACCTTCAATTGAAATTTTGATGTCTAGAGAAGCCAAAGAAGTGTGGCAAATTTCCCAATTATATTTAAGAGCTGGATGAAAGGAATTGATGGCGGTTATAAATTGAGTGAGTTCCTCTTTGGTAGAGGAGGTAGCGCCGATGCAATCGTCAATGTAAAGGCTGTAGAGTTCAAGTTTTGGGCCGTGGTATTGCCTAAAAAATTGATGTTCGATAAAACCTACAAAAAGATTGGCGTAGCTGGGTCCCATTTTAGTAACCATGGTCACGCCATTTGTTTGTTTATAGTAGCTACCACCGAATGAAAAGCAATTGAGTGTGAGCGCTAGTTCGACCAGACGGAGTAGTGTTTCAGAGCTAGGTTCCTTAACGATGCGATGATCGAAAAAATGTTTGAGGGCCTGGAGACCATTGCGAATGACAGTATAAAGAGATGTTATATCCATAGTCAAAATTACTTTGTTTTGGCCGAGGAAACTAAAGTCACGAAAAATTTCAAGTGCGTGTTGGCTGTCCTTAATGTAAGACGGAAAAGTTTTGACGATAGGTGCCATACGTTTTCAACTCAGTTGTTAACACTAAATTACCTGCTATACTCTCCCACCGACGCAGCACCACAGTTTCTTTAGGAACTCACTCCTTTATTGTTGTATAAATTGTTCCACTGAACTAGAGCAGCGAATGCAACTATGTTCACCAGCCGAAATGCGTGCACCTTTCAAACTCAATTTATTTGTTTTCAATAACGTTCAGCGACGTTCACCTAAAATGGATCTACATTTCAACTGTGTTTTTTTCTTTTTATTTTTCATGTCAGTAGGTGACCATTGTGTCTTTGTAGCCCAAATTTTTTGCAGGAAAGGTTCATCCCCAGATATAACATTCAAACATTCATATATACCATTTGAAAAATGAGAAGGGAAAAATAGCACATCCGATCCTGAGGAACTGAGAACAATTATTTACAAGTTTTCAAAAAGGATCAGTCGCTGTTTACATTTGCTGACATTATTTTTACTGTCTCAATCATCTCTGAGCTAACCAGGTTCAGGATTATTTTCACATTTGTGATAAAGAGGGTTAGTCATCGTATAAATAGAAATGAATTTTCCAAATGCAAAACACTGAAATATAACGCGTAAACTTTCGCAACTGCTATCGATGTTTATAAATTGTTGATGACTATTGTTGCCAAAAGAATTTTCAGACTTATCCTAACGTGTTTAATGCCCTTTAAAAGGTGCCACCTGTTGTTTGTCTATTTCCTATTGTATAAAGATTTAAGATACATCTTAACTAGTGCAGTACTTGAAGTAGTCGCTAAGAACCGAGTTCCGGTTTTGAAGAAGAACCCGAGTAATGAAAACGATCAATAATTTAATAGACAGTGAAAACTTTTTCTCCGGCTTTTTAGAGAGCAAACACCAAAACGCAAACGCAAAAGCACCAGCGCTGTTGCGTGTTTCGCTTGTTTTCCTGCCAATCGGTTCATTATTTGGTGCAAAAGTGACTTTAAAATGCAAACGCACGCGCACTACCTTCGTGATAGCACAGTTCTATTAAAGATGGGAATGGAGATTCACAACACTGTAGCTGTGTCTTGTTGTGGGTATTGCTCAGTGTCTTGATTTCTTTGTATAACTGGCAAAATGGCAGTAAAATTTATTATCTAAAGTTAACGTGAATCGAATTTCAATCATTCAGAATTGACAACGATGATCATGACTGATTTTGTTTCAGACTTTTTGAGTCCAACCCAAGAATTCAAGACATAGTTCCCGCCTTTACGAGTTTGAAACTTGAAGCCGTAATCAACTCTCGATCTCTGTATCTTCACGTCAGACGGGTCATGACTGCGCTGGAAAATGCTATGTTTTCTTTAAACGACGCAGAGGTTTTCATCGAGTATTCAATTCAGTAAGCTGTTCATTAACATTTTTCACGTGCGTTGCAAAATATTTTAAGGATAAAAAACGCAATAGCGTCTATTTGTGCGCGAAAATATGTACGGATATTTGTCCTTGGATGTTATCTGTTCCTCGAAGCTCACAGCTTTCGCAACTTGGGACAGAAAATTCGTGAAAATGACCGCGGACAAATATCCGCACTTATTTTAGCGCCAAATTGGAACAATTGTTTATACAGCGCTGTATGGTGATTTACAACTCAGTAGAGGGAAGCATAGTGCTATCTGGGAGTACATATTGTTGTGAAGCGTAGTCTAGTTACCGCATTTTACGGATTTACAGTGTTACTCAGGGGTATAATGTTGTATTGTGCTGTATAATTTTAAAAGTTGCAATAAAGGGATGTATAGTGCTATTTAGGGGAGGAGGAGAGGGGCATATAGACGTACGTATTCGAGGAGTTTGTTCTACAACGTAAGGAGACATGGAGTCCAATAATCGACGGAACGTGTTTGCTCCTAATGAATCTTTCGGGCTGTTATCGACTACCTCTTAGGAAGCATTACAATAACTTAACCTTTCTTGATTATTGTCTTGTCAAATACTTTCTCAAGGTCCTCTCTGCGTCTACATCCAAGATGACGGCTACCGACTCGGAGAAGTCTGTGGATTGGCCTGCTGCCATCTTGGACTCGCGATGTAGGTGGACCCTGGGCGAGAGTTTGATCCATTCCCAATCAGATGATAGAAGAAGCCTTAATTTGGACATTGAAGGACTCGTTTCCATCAAAATGCATCGATTATGTCGCAGAGACTTGAAGGGAGCTCTTTCGTTTTATAGCTGCTACTGTGATGAGAGGACCGAGGAGAGCAAACACTGGCAAGTGAGACTTAAAATTGAGACCCCCTGTGGACTGGGAATGAGTCGAAAGGAAAACTAGGATTTTACTAGACATGATGCAAAGAAGACACCATCCTAAAGTGAACAAAATAAGCATAATAACAACTACTCTGGGGAAGTAAGGAGGTATATGAGTTGTAAGAGACCTGACGTTGCGCGAGGATTGAGACGAATGAAAACTGAAACAGACACGGAGATAGTCGCGTCTAATGAAGCGCGTAGAAGAATAAAGTTGAGGGCGATGAAAGAAGTGCGCGTAAAAATGGGAATAAAGGAAAAGTATGATGGAAAAAAGGGAAGGAACAAAAGGAAGGAGAAAAAAGAGATGCAGAAATGTGAAAAGGTGTAAAAAGGTAAAAAGGGCGCACACAGGTAACAGTATGAACACGTCCGTCGGCATTCAAAATCGTGTGACAATATGGAGAACGGTAGACAGTGAAAGAGACACAATCGAAGAGTCGACGAGCGTTTGTTAAGTGGGTGGGGGGCTTGAAACATGGAATGTCGGTACACTGTCAGCTGCAAAGATTATCAACTTAGCGCGCGCGGGTCAAAACAAGCATTGAAGTCCCCGTAGGATCTGTTCTCCCTGCATCTCACGCGAATCCTTAGAATATGGAGACAGAATATGAAAACAAAGGCAGTTTTTGTATTTTATACACTCTCTAGTTCTCTTACACAAAAAGTAAAAAAAGGATTATTTTTCACTAGAAACGTTATGTTTCATCGAATTCTCAGAATGAAGCAACAAAGAAACACATTCTTATCAGTTGGGAGAATTTTTCTTCACAACTTGGGAGTTAATGAGTAAATGAATAAAAACTAAGGTAAATGAACAAATAGCTTCAACTTTAACTACAAATAGCATCAAAACAATTCACACCAAATACACTGACATTATAAAAAGAATGTTTAGTCGAAATTGTCCCAGCTTGTTTTTAAAATCCTACGTTACATCATATTCAACCATGTACAAGGTTAACTATTATATTTTATATCAGCATATACCAATGGTAGTTATGAAAATCTGTCAAAAATTAACATTGATTTGACAAAAATTTCTTTTAAAACAGCTGTGATACAGTACACCTTAAACTTTTGACCACATAACGGGTTCTAATTACACAGCGTGCTCTGAATACCTAAGTATAAATTCTTAAATCTAAGAAAGATATCATCAGACATCTCCAAATTATACTAAGCTGAATTTAAAGCCATGAAAAAAATTTGAACAGCAAATTTCAAAAAAATGCAAGTTTTATCCTGAAGCCCTGAACCTTTTTAACTACGGCCTAGATTTACATTTATTCATGAACATTTCCACCAAAATAATTCCCATTGAGGACTAAATGGCTTACTTCAAGTGTTTCCCTAATTTATCGGCGTAAATTTTTTCCTAATGAAAACAACAAATTCCATGTCACCTACATTAAAAGTCACAGCAATGGAAACTTTAGTTAAAGTAAACTCTGCTTCGCTATTTCCTTGTTTAGATTACATGGACAATTTGTCTCTGTCGTCGTTCTCTAAAACAAACTGATGAGTGTTTGATAAAACGGACTAAAATTGATCAAACTCGTTTGATTGAAAGCAGGCTGTTGTAGCCAGCTCTTTGACTTGTTGTAGGCCTTTTTCCTGAGAAATTTCAATTTTTGTTTCAACATTTGTAAGAGTCACATTAGGAAAGTCAAGTGGGCGGAAAACAATTGTAGGCCGGCCCCACGGGACTAGAAGCTGGCCACACCCCTGAGAGTAGGTCTAATGTCTCTAACATATGGTCAGTAAATTCAACAACATCATCTCTGATGATTACTTCTTCAAATTAAGCTTAGAATGGCAATCTTGGCACTGATGGAATTAGATTGCATTAAAATGGATTGAAAAAAAGTTGAAAATGATGATCAATTTTTTTGCAAAGATAATTGCAAATTGCAACAAAGTAATTTATGACTTAGAAAAACCATAAAGATCAATTCACATATGGCTGCGAAGTTTGCAAATCACATTTTTGAAATTAAAATTTCACCACCTTTTGCAAATGACAAACTGATTCTTTGCTTATCAAAAGCTTAGAGTATCAACGTAATTAAAACCCGCTGGACAAGCTCCTGGTTGTGTACAAGAAAAAAACCTTTAAATTATTTTACACATAACTGATTGCAATAAAGGAATAGATCTGAGTGTCATTTTGGCGAAACGAAAACCTCGTAGTCGCCTTCAACAACTTCAGGCATTAACAGCAGAAGCCTTGTTGCATCTTGTTCTCTTCGCAAGCATCTAAATTTGTAAAGGTAAAAAAATTGCAATTCCACTAAACAAAATATACTGAAATAGTCTGTTTTATTTCTTCACCAAAGTAAAGTCACACATCTCAGGTTACATTTAACAAAATAGTGAAAAGTAATGAAAAAGAGCCAAAAAGCGCCAAAATGGAGAAGCATTTAAACCTTCCAAGTTCCTGCGTCATTCATTTTCAGATGAAATAAAAAGTTTTTATTTACGTGATTTCATATTCAAATTTTCTCTTTCCTTTGTTATGAAGTCAAGAGTGACGTCATCTCCAATCAGCAAAAAGGGCGCCCAGTGTTTGATGTCGCAGAACTTGTCTGATTCTCTGAGGCTTTTCATGGCCAGGTTCAGTGACTCGCTTGCTGGTTTACCTCCAGCAAGTTGTTGATAAAAGTATTTCATGAACTCAAGAGTAGCCTCGTCATCAATCGCCCACAGGGACACCACAATAGACCGAGCACCAGCCCCCATAAAAGCGCGCGCAATGCCAACCACACCTTCAGCCTTGATCTCGCCCCGGCCGCTGTGGCAGCAACTAAGCACAACAAGTTTGGCCCGAAGTTGAGCATTCAACACATCCCCAATTGTTAAAATGTAATCCTCCTCCGTTGGCACAGTAGATACTCGGTCTGGGTCAGGTGTAAGAGCAATTTCACCAGTTTCCATACATCCATGGGTCGCAAAGTGAACTAGGGAAACGGATCTGAGTCTTCTCAACACCTCACGTTTCGTGGCCTGACTGCCAGTGAGTGGCGTGATATTCAGAATGTTTCCTATCATTTCTACTTCTTTTTTAGCATACTCAAGCTGCTCAAAGACTTTCTCTCCCTCGCTGTTAGTAACCTCGGATACCCACGGATCTCCTACAAGTAACGCACCACTGCTTTTGTGATAATCGTCTGGGCAATCGGCAATGAGTCTAAGACTTGCTAACGATGGAGCGACTCGGATTGTGAACGATTCACACAGGTATTTAGAATTACCATCCTTCAATGCAGCGTAAGGAGCGATCCAGAGGGGTCCATCAGGAATAATGAGTAGCTCATCCCCTTCAATCAAGTCAGCCACCGGCTTCATAACGATATCATACAAAGTGCTCAAGTATCCGTCTTGTTGGATGTGAGGTTGAGGCTTGGCTTCTTTGTTTTTCTCATCCACTTTTGAACGGCCCTCCCTCAAAGCATCTAAAGATCGATTCTCGCATCTCACATTAGAACGAACATCAAGTTGTGTATAGACACCGAGCATGAACGACTCAAAGGACAGGCTAGATCCACTATTCTCTGAAACAAAACCTTTGAGTTTACTTTGTCTTAACTGAACTTGTTTTCCTTCGGACACAACCCAAAGATGGACGTTAGCTTCGTCCACTGCCTGAAAGACAGTGTTTGATGGAACGTTTTTTAAAACTGCGCAATCTTCATCTTCTCCCTTGTGGTGACTTGTTCCACCACAAAAACTGGATTCCATGAGGTCGGTCAGAGCTTGAGCTCGTCCTTTCTCAGCAACAAATAAGGCTTCATCTACATTACCCTGTTCTACGAGAACTCTCCACAAACCCGTATACGCCACTTGATGCTGATTTCGAAAATTAACTTTCCACTCATCTTTAGATTTTAGAAGTACTCTCAAGGAATTGAATAAGTTTATGCTAGCTTGGTAATGTTCAACGGCTTTTGGCAGTCCACCTTGCAACTCAAAATCGCATCCTAATAAAAAGTGGGCCATTGCCTCCAAGAATTTGTCTCCTACTTCTTTAGCTATTATAAGATGTAGGTTGTGGTACTCTATGGCTTTTTTTAAATCACCCAGACATTTATAAGCACTGCCAAGATTGCCATAAGCAACACCCTCCCCATGCTTGTCTCCTCCTTCTTTAGCTATTTTAAGAATTAGGTTGTAGCACTCTATGGCTTTTTTAAAATCACCCAGACGGCCATAAATATTGCCAAGATTGCCACAAGCGTTACCCTCCCCATGCTTGTTTCCTATTTCTTTAGCTATTTTAAGATGTAGGATGTGGTACTCTATTGCTTTTTTTAAATCACCCAGACGGCCATAAGCATTGCCAAGATTGCCATAAGCGTTACCCTCCCCATGCTTGTCTCCTACTTCTTTAGCTATTTTAAGAATTAGGTTGTAGTACTCTATGGCTTTTTTAAAATCACCCAGACTACAATAAGCATTGCCAAGACTGCCATAAGCGTTACCCTCCCCATGCTTGTCTCCTACTTCTTTAGCTATTTTAAGATGTACGTTGTGGTACTCTATGGCTTTTTTGAAATCACCCAGACGGTCATAAGCATTGCTTAGATTGCCATAAGCGTTACCCTCCCCATGCTTGTCTCCTACTTCTTTACCTATTTTAAGATGTAGGTTGTTGTACTCTATGGCTTTTTTGAAATCACCCAGACGGTCATAAGCATTGCCAAGATTGCCATGAGCAAAACCCTCCCCATGCTTGTCTCCTACTTCTTTAGCTATTTTAATATGTAGGTTGTGGTACTCTATGGCTTTTTTGAAATCACCCAGACGGTCATAAGTATTGCCAAGATTGCCATAAGCAACACCCTCCCCATGCTTGTCTCCTACTTCTTTAGCTATTTTAAGATGTAGGTTGTTGTACTCTATGGCCTTTTTGAAATCACCCAGACCAATATAATCATTGCCAAGATTGCCATAAGCACCACCCTCTCCATGCTTGTCTCCTACTTCTTTAGCTATTTTAAGACTTAGGTTGTGGTACTCCATGGATTTTTTGAAATCGCCCAGACGGTGATAAGCACTGCCAAGATTGCCATGAGCACAACCCTCCCCATGCTTGTCTCCTACTTCTTTAGCTCTTTTAAGATGTAGGTTGTGGTACTCTATGGCTTTTTTGAAATCACCCAGACGGTGATAAGCATTGCCAAGATTGCCATAAGCCTCACCCTCTCCATGCTTGTCTCCTACTTCTTTAGCTTTTTTAAGATGTAGGTTGTGGTACTCTATGGCTTTTTTGAAATCATAAGCATTGCCAAGATTGACATCACCTGAACTTGCATTACCGTGGTCATGACTAATAGGATCTTTTTCCTCCATGGATTTATCTCTCACTTCACTGACAGACTGAAGTCTTAATGACAACAAGATCCTATTGTTTTTGTCAATCTTTTTTATGTTAAGGGTTAAAAATGTGGAAAAAACAAAAAAGATTATGTTTCTGATCATATTGATATGTAATAGTCCATTTTAACATTTGCGTGCTTGGTTCCCAAACCTCTGAACAAGAGCGATGATTAAGGGTGACCTTGTTATGATAAAAACATTGCTGCCTTTTAAATGCAAACTACTTTGTTATTATCGTTTCTAGATACTGGTCTCTATCGCAACAAGGTCACCTTCAGCCTCACTCCAAATCAAAGGCTTGGCAACTAAGTACACAACTATAAAATGGCCCATTAGGAGGGCTTTGCATGAAAGGTAGATGATTTATCAACATTCAGTCTTAAAGTCAGTTATGAAGTAAATCTACACTGCAAAAAATGTTTTTTCTGTGTGCAGCCTCAAAATTTAACTCGAAATATCGAGATTTAATCCCTTGTTTCCAAAAACTGAGCAGCAGTTGCTCAATTTTTAAATCAATATGGCTTTAACATCACACAAATGTTTTACAGCAATGGAAGAAATGAGTCTACAACACAAATACATGTCTTTAAAATTGTTATTTGTCCATAGGAAAGCACAACGAAAGTTTCTGAGTCTCTAAGTAGTGGAAAAAGGTCGAAGGCAAGAAAATCTGCATAATTAAGATATATAAACATTACCGAGCTTTTTGTTCTGGCTTGTTTTAGAGAGATCATCTACCCAAGTACTATGTATAAATTGGATGAATATTAGTCTTCTAACCCTTTAACTCCCGTGAGTGACCAAAAGAGAATTTCTTCTTACAATAGCAATACAATATCAATCAGATAAGTGTTGAGAGTAAAAAAAAATTTATCAATTTAAAAATAGTTAGTTGATGCAATACTGAATTCTCTGTACTAACATTACAAGAATTGTATGGTTGACAGTAAGGATAATTACAAATTTGGTCTGGGAAATTAAAGGGTTATTTAAACTAATGTACCAGTTATTGGCATGGATGGTAGAACTATGTCAAATTGGCTAAAAGGAGTAATTTCATTAATAAGTTATGAGGTAATAACTTTTCATATGTTTTTAATCACACACACTTAAAGTATATGAGCTGACAAGTTCCCATCATAATTAATACCCTTCTTTGTTTTTTTTCCCTTGATAGTATATGAGCTGGAAACTTTTTTCCATTATACCCACGGTTAAAAATGAAAGATTCCTTCAAAGGATACAGCTAGTCCCTTATCACACCAAGTGATTGCTTCTTCAAATCTCTTCAATTCAATACAAGCAGTGGCTCCTGTGGGTAACACAAAGAAGCATACTGTTAATAGAGCTCAATTCTGAGAAAAGAACCTGAAACCATTGAAATCATTACAGAGCAGAAGAAAAAAAAAAGACAAAACAAAACAATACAAAAAAACTAAACGGAAAAGAATAAGCAGGCCCTATTAGATTTCAGTTAGATTTATTTAGCTTTACAGACAACTGAAACTTCTAAGAAAACTTAAATTGGGATCAACAACTCCCACAAAAACACTAAAAGTTAGGTAAGTCCTGATCCTTTTTTTTTAAACAGCTAGATAGTGACTTAAGAGCGCGTCCACGAGAGCACCGGGTAGTCGCGCTACATGCCATCTCACCGATTTCAATGAAACTTTGTCAGTTTAAAGGGTCTACCCCAAAACTCAAAAAAACAGACTGGTTTCTGTTTTGGTTTTTTCCGGGTGGAGATAGACCACACCCCGCTTTTTCTTGGTTTTCACTAAGGAAATCGCTTCAAATAGGTAAAATGTATGAAGCTTTCACTGCGATGGTATTTAACCGATTGCTTTGAGAATTTGCACACATATTTTTACATCCTTAGTTAATGGCCGTCGCGAGTATCAGTCAGTTTGATTGACGACTTGTCAATCAACAGAGGCAAATATACGACTTTGGTTTTAGACTTTTCGATTCATCTAAATATTTGACAACTTTGAGGTCATATATCTCCCGTTGCCAGAAAGCTACAACACTAATCTTAATTACCCTTTATAACCCATCATTTCATCTCTGAAAATCATCAAAAAAATCTTTGGGCACTACCGTATTTTTGTCTTGGATGCCTTTTAAAATCTGCGACTGGGACAAGTTTCTCTGAACTACACCTGTCACGCAATTCTTGCTCTAGGCGGTCACTTGACAAAATAAACCTACATTTTTTAGCTCTTTATACAAGTTGATTGGTCAAGAAAGGTGAAAACTGTGAAAAACTTTCGAGATTTTTTGTAGGAATGGAAAATTTCACGAGAGATGCATGTTGACAGAAGATCAATGGGAAAATCGTAGCGTTTCTTTCTTCAGTCGTTTATTACTTTGAAGATTTGCTAAAATCAGGACATAGGGCTCTTGTGCAGAACAAAAAATTCATTAGCCTATACTTCGATCGTCTATTATCATCATCGCACAGTTTACAATAAGGAAACTGTAACAGGAGAGGAGATTTTAAAGTCACGCCTGCTTGTTGACGTACAAGTTCCCGAGTGTAACAACTTCGGCATTCCATACCGCGAATGACGGGAAACTCTGCCCCCTTTATTTGTTAGGAAATATCAATAGCCCCATGAATTCATTAACTACGCCATGTTTCCAGAAAATTAGACTGGAAAATGTTTTTTCCACTTTCCACCATCAAGAAATTCCACGTATAGGAATAGTATTTGTAGGGTCACTGCGTGACCTTTTATGAGAAGTAAAAATTGTTCATCTTTTTTTTTCAAGAAGGCACTTCTAGAGAGTTCCTAATCTTTCTGTTATCTTATTTTCCTGCTTTTTGACTGCAAATATCATCTGCATTTGCTATTATTTTCGCTGATTGTCATGGCCTTTCCTGCGTGCACGTGCGAGCTAGTTCATATACAGGACTCTTTCGAGTTTCTCTGGCTGGTGTCGGGCTTATGTGTGTAGGTCTGGTTCAAAAGATATCTGCACGCTGCAACACGGGTTCCTATGTTTTCTCCTTTTTCTTTATTTGTATTTTCATTCTCTTACTTGCATTATCACACATATATTTTTTTTATTCCCTCAGCACGTTCCCTCAGATTTGGAAGTAGGCCATGAAAAGTCAATAATGACCAGAACTGAAATCCTTTTCTATCACTATTTGTTTCAGACAACCCCCGTCATTTGTGACTTTATTTCTCAAGAAAATGTGTTTTTATTTGCTATTTATTTCCCTTTTCCATTGTCTTCCGAGACAGACGGTTGCCAACAAATTTCCCTTAGAACATGAAACTAGGTCCTGATAAGTTTTTTTGTCTCGTGACTCCCAAAAACTGTGTTTGCGACAACATCAATTGAGAAATCAAAGGCAATTACGCCTGAGAAATTCGCTTGTAGTCTTCTACCCGCAGAAGGCAACTCCATATAATGAAACGTTCTAAGACCTCTGTAAACTAGAGAAATTGGGTGATGTTGAGGAGTGAAATATTTACACTAAATCTGTGACCCTTAAACGGATCACGTACTCGTACTTGTAACGTCCGGAAAATGTCACGCATGTATAACACCTCAGGCGCACCTGGCGTATCCACTGACTTCAGTAGTAAAGAGACAACTTATTTATTATTTGTATATGAGAAAGCTTATTTACCCTAATTGAAAAAATCCTTGATGAAGTCTACTATTGTCAGACGAAACGCGTGGGAGATAAATACAAGTTTTTACTTTCTCAGTTCGTGCAGTGATGCTCACTAGTTTGTTCCGTCAAAAATGCTTTTAATGTGAAGTCACGTCGACCTCGACAGAAAAACTAAGCTCACCCTGTCATAATCAATGGTTTGATACCGTAAGTACCAATTTAGGTACATCATTGGGCTTTGATCACAATGATGAAAAAAATGTGCGTTTCCTCACGCTCGCCGCGTTTATTCTTTGGAAAATTATTTTACTAGAGGGCGATGTCGCTTACCTTGGCGCGTCTTGACTCTGGCCGACGAAAATTATCGAGGTGAACTCCATGAAATTCTAGTCAAATGTTTTAAAGACTTTGTCTACCCTTGATTTGCACACAAATGTATTCCAATTTTTTCAACAAGGAGTTGGTAAGTTCATTTTTCCAAGTAAATTTAAGTGGGGGTCATTTTTTTGTGACAGCCGATCAAAGATAGACATCTCTGAAACGTCTCTGAAACTCTTTTTAGAAAGAGTTTACACTTCCGGTAATATTTTCCTCCTTCTCGTAACAGCGCAACAGACATTGTTAATCCTATGTATTATAGGTGTATCAGTTGTATTACGTCTTCATTGTGATGCCATATAAGAAATCGAGAGTCTAAAAAAGCCCTCAATTCAATCTAACTCTCGAATTGATAAAGTCAAGATGGTGCAGTTGTCTTGTTCATTTGCAACTAACTGTACAACCAAATGTTACTTTTCTCGCGCTGGCCAGGGAAGGCAACAGCTCATACCTCTAAATTCGTGGGTATACACAGGGCGTGAAATTAACTTTTTTTTTCTGATAGCCACTTGCCTCCTAAATTCTTCAAAGTGGTAGACAATTCAAAAAAAGTTGGTCGCCATTTTCAAAGACATACAAAATCTTTCTTTACGCTGTCAGCGTTCTAGATAGACCCTCCAAAATTAAGTTAGGGAAAAGATCTTTAACGTGCTACAAAGTGGACACTAGGATGGATGATATACAACGTTCAGGCTCATCTAAATCCAAGATGGCGTCTAGTTATCGATCAAGATGCATGTGCTACATTTTGGAAACAAACTTAACGAGGAAGTTTGCCGCGGATTTATCTTCGCAAATCTTTTTAATTCACTATATCTCTTGGTAAGATTATGATGAAACGTTGTAATCGCCAATTTGGCGACTTACTTTCAGGATTTGGTCGCCAAAGTGAAAAATTTAGGCGCATTGGCGCCTGTATTAGGCGCAATTTCACGCCCTGTATACAGCTTAAAGAAAAAAAACATTTGAGAGACGTCGATGTATCCCAAACATGCGTTTCGTCCGAGATGGAGCTTATTCTAGCGCGTATTGGCTTATTTGGAGATGACGAAGGCCGCGATTTCACGATGTACCTCAAATATCGTGCACAACTTGGTGTGAGATTCAGACCTTCGGGTTCGTAAATGCTAGTATCCTCCTCATAAAAATCGGAGACATAAAGTGAGAGAGAGATGAATCTGCAGATGGTAGAAGAAATCAAAGCTGGTGGCGAGTCTTTCTGGTGGCGGCAAGGTGACTGTAAACCTAAATAGAACGCGTACTGTAGCTGCTATCTTAGAGTCGACAAGGAATAAGGAAGAAGGGCAAGAAGAGCGCTTATCTGAACATCAGTTTTCCTAACTGGTGATTTGTGACTGAGATGAACTTTATATCATATGATTGCAAGGGATACGCAGGTACTGTAGAGGCGCTCACATAGGTAGAGGTGGGCGATTCTCCCTCTGACTTAAGAACTGCGACAAGTTTATAGCGCAGACCAACAGGCACAGTTTGAAGCACCTCAGGGTCTCACTTGGCTCATCACATTAGAAACCTTCAGCAAACTAATCGTAGAAGCGGGTGGTTATCAGCAACGTGCACAGATTTCCGAACGCGGGTCATCGCGAGAACTATACCCAATCCGCCATAGACGGAACAAGAAAGCGAGATATTCTTGCTAAAAGAAGGATGTATCAAGACGTTTCAGTCATTGGCAAAGACAAACACAGTAAGACAAAAAAAATTCCGCCTAGGATAAGATCAAGAGGAAATGGACTTAGACCGGCTTGCCATTCTATAGGGGACGGCTACGTTCGAGGTCGGACCTAAGGTAAAAAGTCTGACGAACAATCCCTAACTAGCCAAGTGGACTTTGGATGGGCTCTTTGGAAAACACAAAAAACAGCCACCTTTTCTCAGAAAGCAGAGAATTATCTCCTAGTCGTGTGCTGGGCAAGGGAGGAAACTAGCAAGGCAACCGCCTCTAATGTGATTTCCCAAATATCGAGAGAGTTTAAGAGACGACACCAGCCAGAAATGTTGTCTAAGACTGACCGGTTGATACAGCAGCAAATCGCTCGATACTTCAGCCGGTTATCTGCCGTAACAAAAATTGGTTCATTGATGAGGTCCCCCTCTGTAAATATGAATGAGGACGGAGAGGCCGACGCCAATGATCTAGCTTCAGAATTCGAAACTGACCGAACAAGGCAGAAGATAAGGAGGGACCTTGCAAAATTTAGACGAAGACTGCAGGAGAGGGTACAGCTGCTATTAAGCTAAAAAAAAAAAGAAAAAAAAAAAGACATTCGCATCTCACTTTTTCATATTTGTTGTCTTTGCTCACGAAAACAACTGGCTATGTCTTGGGATTTCATCAAGGGAAATTTGCAGAAAGGCTACTCCGCAAATTACTGCTGGCTCATTCTTATTGAAAAATTTTACAAGTCACGCAATTAAACGCCGGCAACACTCGATCTAGAGAGATGTAGATTTATGTGTAGTAATAGAATGCTTGAAAAAAATATGCAGATATTTTACGATCGAAGCAGGTAAGTGACAACGACAACACTATTTTAATTTTATTTTCGGGATAGAGGCACAGTTTTTAGTCCGATAGAACTATTGATATTTGCTCTCGAGCGAGAGCGCAGAATTTCTCGTCTGTGAAAGCCGAAGTTGTAGCACACTGGAACATGTAGTAATATCAACCAACACGCAGCATGACTTTAAAATCTCCTAAAATGAGCAATGATGATGATTAACAATCACATTATAGACTAATAAATGTTTTGTGCCGTACAAAAGCCATATCTGCTGATTTTAGCAAATCTTCAAAGTAATAAACGACTGAAGAAAGAAACGCTACGATTTTCCCATTGATTTTTCGTTTACATGCATCTCTCTAAACGTGAAATTTTCCATTCCTACAAAAAATCTCGAAAGTTTTTCACATTTTTCACCGTTCTTGATCAATCATCTTGTATAAAGAGCTAAAAAATGTAGGTTTATTTTGTCAAGTGACCGCCTAGAGCAAGAATTGCGTGACAGGTGTAGTTCAGAGAAACTTGTCCCAGTCGCAGATTTTAAAAGGCATCCAAGACAAAAATACAGTAGTGCCCAAAGATTTTTTTGATGATTTTCAGAGATGAAATGATGGGTTATAAAGGGGAATTAAGATTAGTGTTGTAGCTTTCTGGCAACGGGAGATATTTGACCTCAAAGATGAATCGAAAAGTCTAAAACCAAAGTCGTATATTTGCCTCTGTTGATTGACAAGCAGTCAATCAAACTGACTGATACTCGCAGCAGACATTAACTAAGGATGTAAAAATATGTGTGCAAATCCTCAAAGTAATCGGTTAGATACCATCACCATGAGAGCTTCATACATTTTACCTATTTGAAGCGATTTCCTTGGTGAAAACCAAGAAAAAACCGGGGGTGGTCTATCTCCCCCCGGAAGAACCAAGACAGAAACCAGTTTGTCTCTTTGAGTTTTGGGGTAGACCCTTTAAACTGCAAAGTTTCATTGAAATCGGTGAGACGGCTTGTAGCACGACTGCCCGGTGCTCTCGTGGACACGCTCTTGACATATCTGAAACCTGTGACTCATTGGACTTAAGTAACTAAAATATTCATGCTGAAATTTTGCTTTGCATTCCGCATTGGGTTCTTCATCCCGTTCAAAATAATATTCTTATCATGATTAATGGAAAGTAATGGCGTAGTAGTCAAGAGCTGGATTCCAATGTACATCAGGGTGGTCTTGACCTCTTAATTAAAGTCAATTGAGACAAGATTGAACTCCATTTAACCTCATTTAACCTTAGAGTGTTGAGTTCTTTTGTTATTATTATTATAGCACAGCTAACATATCTAACCTCTCACAATTGCCTTAAGGAAAGTTGGATTTAACTCAATGGCTGCTTCTGCATCCCTTAGTGAATCCTGGTGATTTCCTGTTATTGAAATAAATATCTCTGATTAGCCATACATGTTGCAAACCAACTACCATTACTATAATTTTGGGAAAAACTTGTGATGCTCATTGATATCTGGGGTAAGAGGTTACTTCTTCGTATATTTGAGAGGCCAAGATAAGATGTAAATTTTCCCGGGCATGCATTCAAAATTATCACCTTTTTCAGAAAACTACTACTGACAACTTAATAGCTTCAAAATAGAAAAAAAAATGCATATTAAAGCTCTCATCATCTTACCAAGTTTAAAATGTGCAATAGCCCTGTTGTTGTGCAGTTTGGCCTTCAGTTCTTTCTCATTGCAGTTCATTTTAATTCCTTTGGTGTAAAAATGAATAGCATTGATGAAATCTCCTTTCTTGAAGGCCTCATTACCCTCATTTCTATAAACATCAGCTGTGGCTGCAAAGAAAAAATAAAAAATAATTTGTGTCAAAGTCTGTGGTTGTAGTTAATAATTACCTGTGGTTGTAGTTAATTAGTGCATAAGCAGAGCTGCCAAGATCTGGAGGTTTAAAATCTGCAGATTTTTCCTTTAGTGCCAGCTGCCACTTCTGCACCTGCCTGACTTGACCCATTCCCTGAAAAGCTTGGAGTAATACTGCTGCAGGGCGTAAAATTGCGCCTAATACAGGCGCCAATGCGACTAACTTTTTCACTTTGGCGACCAAATCCTGGAAATTAGTCGCCAAATTGGTGACTAGAATGTTTCATCATAACCTTACCAAGAGATATAGTGAATTAAAAAGATTTGCAAAGATAAATCCGTCGCAAACTTCCTCGTTAAGTTTGTTTCCAAAACGCAACAGATGCATCTCAATCGATAATTAGACGCCATCTTGGAATTAAGTGAGCTTTAAGGTTGTATATCGTCCATCCTAGTGTCCATTTTGTAGCACGTTAAAGATCTTTTCCCAAACTTAATTTTGGAGGGTCTATCTAGAATGCTGACGGCTTAAAAGAAGGTTTTGTTTGTCTTTGAAAATGGCGACCAACTTTTTTTCACTTGGCTACCACTTTATATGATGATCAAATAAAGTCTTTACTTATTATAACTTTGTGTACTTGCTTTGAAATTTGAGAAAAGAAAATAACAAATATGTCATGGATCCTCTCAGTCAATCAACAGCATATTTTAATCATAGAAGAGATTCATGACTGGCCAAATATCCTTTAAGGTGGTCATGCAGTGTATTAATATCATTCTCCACATCTTCTTACATTCTTGAAACTGGTAGAATAGAAAACATTTTAACAGTGACTGAAGCCAGAGTTGAACCTAGCTCACCTCGTAAAGTGTCCTCATCAAAATCTGGAGCATTTTCTTTGTCAGGTAAGTCTTCATTTTCAGATGGAACCTTAATTGGACTTCTTTCTTTAGCCATAGCAACTGTAAGGGGATGCTTCTTTCAAAAAGTTGCTGTTTTAAGTCATCCTGGTCTGAAAAAAAGGTTCGTTGCAAATGGTAAAAAATTAGCTCAACATGTTACCCAATTGTAAACTAAATATTTTTTCCCTCCTAAGAATGGGAGGGATACATAGACACAAAATCACAAGCAATTAATATCAATAGCATATTTAAAGCAGTAAAAGAACAAAAGATATATATACTGAAGAAAACAAGCATTAATATTTAAATAAAAAGTAATTCACTTCTCATTACAATAAATTTCAAGATTTACCAAAAACATTCCTATGCAATTGACTGAAATAAATTGGGCAAAAATCAACATCTGTGTGTTTCAAGTTTATATAATTTGTAACAGTAGCAATTTAAATCATTTAAACTAAGAGGTGGTAGGTAGTTAGGTCACATCTGGATTTGAAAAGTGGCCCGTCCAGGGCCTGAGCTTTACTTAATCCTGGTTTCCTTACATGAAGCAACTGGGAGTATTACTACCCAACCCTGGAAAGGATGCAAGTCCATTCCACTGTCATCCCTCCCCCCCTTTCACCCCCCTTGCATTTTATCAGGTTTCCCCAACTAATTTTTGTTACCCATTTATACTCCTGGGTGGAGACAGACACTGTAAGAGTAAAGTGTTTTGCACAAGAACGCAACACATTGACTGGAACCCAGACCTCTTGACCCTGAGTCCAGCACAGGCCAGGCTACAAATGCAGACCTCTTGACCAAGCGTCCACCTCACTAATCATAAGACCACCATGTCTCCGCCAGAGGAGAGAGTTTATGCTGAATCATTTCTCATAAGAAACAAATTTTACAACACCAAAGTAAAATTTTCTTATTTGATTTTTAAATAGGGATTACTGGTCAAAACTTATAAAAGATGTATTTCATTTATTCAATTTCCTACAGTTGAGGTGATGCCCATATTTGTATAAGTGATTGTTAGTTCAACTGTTTCGCTTTATCACAGGAAAAACAGTGAAATATTTACATTTATGCATGCTGATGTATGTTGAAATGGATTTAAATTTTGTACAGGTGCTGACATTTTTGCTTTATTAGTATATGTATATTTTTTGTATTTTTTGTCTGTGCACAAAATTGATTTGTCTTTGATGCTAACTTTAATTCTCCTAATAATCATGACTGGTTGTTTTTTAGATATCAAATAATCCTTGCTGGCTGTCTTCATGTACAAAAAAATTCAATAAATGTGGAGTAGCAAGGAAGTCAATTGAACTGGAATTCAAAATAGCCTGTAAGTGTATATCGCTTTTACAAAAACCACTACAAACTTCTATATAACCAGCTGATTGCCAGGGCTTTACAGAGGTATATTGGCCCAAGGTTGTAACAGTATAGGAATGACATGGTGCCAATATTTCCCAGTACCCCTCAAGAGAGCAAGGTAATTGTCATGCACCAATGTCACTTGGACTAAACAAGTTTACAATGAATTTACATGTTTTATGATTTTCTGTATGGTGCAATGATGGTCTATGTTGCAAAATCCTGACCAAGTAAGAACCAATCAGAACTTTAAATTTATCTCAAGACTACCTTCCCATATAACAACATAAATTATCAACAAACACATACTTGGATGCATGCAGCCTCATGTAGAACTAAACCAGTTTTGATTAAAAAAAAAATTGATCGGAGACATTCAGTTGATATGATTATTGATTGATCGTATGTTGATTAGCAGATGACAAAAGGTAAAACTTCACTCAGACACTAATCAATCATTACCAGTTGATGAATTGGATTCCTAAAACTCGAATGCAGTTAATTGAAAGGACTCTTGCAGTAAATAACTAGCTGGATGTGAAGAAAAATCAACTTGACTCAATATTTAACAAGGAAATCAGTACAGTTTGGAAGGACAATCTAAGCTGTCTATCGAAAAGAAAAAATCACTTTCAAAATACAGTATAAAATGATAAACATAAACACATGAAATACGCTGAAGATACGGGAGCAAATTAAGTTAATACGTACATAAGCCCGACATGAAAGCTAGTGCCGAACACGATTGTGTACATGCTCCGCATGACACGCAAACGAAACTGAAAGTGTTGCGATCAAAAGGGCTTGTACTGAATCAAATCGATAATTTGGATATCCTTTGTAACTCTCCCGAATTACTTATTTTGTCCAAGGTAAATGCCGGGCATTGCTTGCGAATTTTTGTGAATTCGACAGCTGTAACTTGTTCAAACAAGCTCAGCTTAATAAGCTTGTAACTAACACGAAGCGGCAATACAATTAATACACGCCAGAATAAAGTAAAAGTAGGCAATCGTCGTCACTTAACTGCAGGAACGTCTTTCATTGTCGGAAATCAGAGAAAGTTCGGAAAGATGAGGAACATTTGAAGGAGGAAATCTCAACTAAAAAAAATTTAAAATAAAAGTATTTACCTTACACTCAAAAATCTGATAAAACCCTCTGTCGCGGAAATGGAAGGCACGTTTGACTATTTTACGACCTTGCTTCCTCAGTCCGTCATGAAAATGTTTCAAAGTCACTAAGACAAAGTACTAAGAAAGACTCGAAGCTATGTCATGGAACGGAGAATCGCAACGGCGCGTTGTGAAAATGAAACAGAAAGCGCCCACATATGGGCGGCTGTCACCGCCAAAAATCCAAAAATAGAATTGGTTTGTAATAACAGATAGAGTCTAATTGTCTTTTGGAGAACAATTTATCTTATCCAAAGAGATTTATTTAAAAAACCAAATGGACAAGTCGCATTTAATGAAATGAAATATTCAAATAAAAAATGGTTTATACAATTGAGGAGCTGTGTAGCCACCCTTGATAAACTGATTCAATAAAAACATGAGTGGCCAAGTGTTAACTGAAATGGTTGGGAGTTACAACATCACGGGCGACGAGCGGGGAAGAAGAAAAGATAGAAATACGAGTGGTCAGCGGGGAAACAAATTTAATAATTCATAGCCTTCAAAAGGCTAATGTGTTTACCTTGCTTAAATATTTATAATCAAGGCCACTCGTTCAGGAGACCTTTTTTCAAAAGATCCAGACTTTAAAATAATTCTGTTTTCAGTTCGAAGTGTTTTTTTTTTCCTATTTAATTTAACAAATGAACCCGGTATGAAAACTTAACTTTCGAACCGAACAGTAGGTGAAATGTTGTGTTGGTGTCTCTGTCCCCCATGTAAATATTGACTCTAATAGAGATGTAGGAAATCTCTGAGCTTCGAGAAACAGTCAAGTTAAGGCTAATGTGTTTACTTTGCTTAAATATTTATAATCAGGGCCACTCGTTCAGGAGACCTTTTTTCAAAAGATCCAGACGTTAAAATAATTCTGTTTTCCGTTCGAAGTGTTTTTTTCCTATTTAATTTAACAAATGAACCCGGTAAGAAAACTTAACTTTCGAACCGAACAGCAGGTGAAATGTTGTGTTGGTGTCTCTGTCCCCCATGTAAATATTGACTCTAATAGGCATCTAGGAAATCTCTGAGCTTCGAGAAACAGTCAAGTCAAGGCTAATGTGTTTACCTTGCTTAAATATTTATAATCAGGGCCACTCGTTCAGGAGACCTTTTTTCAAAAGATCCAGACGTTAAAATAATTATTTTTTCCGTTCGAAGTGTTTTTTTTCCTATTTAATTTAACAAATGAACCCGGTATGAAAACTTAACTTTCGAACCGAACAGTAGGTGAAATGTTGTGTTGGTGTCTCTGTCCCCCATGTAAATATTGACTCTAAAAGGCAGGTAGGAAAACACTAACCCTAAGCAACAACCAAGCTAAGGCTAATGTGTTTACCTTGCTTAAATATTTATAATCAGGGCCACTCGTTCAGGAGACCTTTTTTCAAAAGATCCAGACTTTAAAATAATTCTGTTTTCCGTTCGGAGTGTTTTTTTTTCCTATTTAATAGAACAAATGAACTCGGTATGAAAACTTAACTTTCGAACCGAACGGCAGGTGAAATGTTATGTTGGTGTTTCTGTCCCCGCACCAAATTTTTAAAAAAATCCTTAAAACTAAACTGGTGAGCAGCACTCGACGAACAGCAGTTGTAAAATCTCTTTACTCTCCGACGCGAGTCGTCTAATTGTCGTAGACTTCTTCGGGGAGTTTTACAATTTAACACTAAACACCTGTATTAATAAGCCATAGTTAACGGTTATACGAGGGCCAATGACCATAAAGGCTCGGCCGGACCTACCAATAGGAACAGGTGAAGTTGCGAAATATTTGAAAATTTTTTGGGGTAACGTGGGAGAATTCATTTGGGGACTACGGTTTTGGTTTTCTCTTTTTCGTCACGCACGTCACGCAGCAAGTTACAAAACGTAAATATAATTCTTCTTGGTGCCTTTCTGGATGCCACCGATGCCTTTTCTGATGTCTCCATTGTTTATTACGGCAGTAAAAGACATATGTGCCATCAACACTTTTGAAAAATTGCTTAAAATTTTATTTAGCGAAGTATACTGTTAACATTTCGGCTTCACAACACCATTGTTTTGTTGCAACTACAACTGATATGTCTCTACATGAAGTATTAAATTTGTTTCCCCGCTGACCACTCTGTAGTAACTCCCGAAATGGTTCAGTGTCGAAATGACAAACGGTTCGGCTAGCTGTACTTTGGTTCAGTAACTTGGCAAAAACGGTTCAGAGTGGTGTAAAATGGCCTAGGTTATCGGCAAATGGTTAATCGTAGCCGCAATGGTTTAGTATCGCATCAATCTACTCACCGTAAAGTGAAATGGTTTAGCGTGACCCCAAATGGTTTAGCGTGACGACAAATGGTTTCGTACAAACCGAAATGGTTTCGTGTTACAGCGGTTGGCGCAGTTGGTTTACGCCGTAACCGCCAAAAATACAAAAGTGAAATGGAAAAGTCAAGCTTGAAATTGAATAGGATAAGAATCTCAAGGGCGCCTCAAAACTATAAAAACTATATAGTTTTTAGGCGCCCTTTAGTTG